GAACGTCACAAAACAGCGTATTAATACAATAAAAAAATTAACAACAATTTGGTAAATCCGTTGTACCTGTTCAGTGATATTTTTATCAACGAAGGACACAAACACTAAGTTGAAAACAAGAAAGTTAAGAAAATGGGCAAAAAAAGACAATAAGAATTTACAAGAGCCATAATGGCTCTTGGAATTTACAAGAAAAAGAATTTAGCAAAAAAAGCGCTAGATCGTTATTGCAATAGGCATAATTATCTTCAAGCACTTCCCCTGCAAGTCTCTCCGCCGCGAAAACAGACTCTTATACCGTTATACCTGGCTTAACACGCACACGGTTTCCTATCAGAATATAAATACATAGATGATTTTACTGGAAAAACAAGCAGATTGGCCCATCTGGCAAGGACGGAAAAAATGAAGAGGTTTGTAAAGGCATGTTCTCGATTTTATGCATGCATTTCTTCATTGGCTTATCAACGGCCAGAATTACATAGCGAAATCGGGAGCAATCGACGTGAATCAACGTTTTTTTGGTTACTGAATCAAATTTCTGTTGATATTATTTGAAGAACATCCTTTCACATTTATAAAACTATTCATAACAGTTAACTTTACAGCGCACTATTAATTTTAATGCCAATAATTTTAAAACAATACTCAGGAACCATAAACTGGTGTCGTCACGGCGTGAAGTCTTAGAAACAGTCAAACCTCTTTAATATGCCCCCCAAAGGGATAGAAACAAGAGTCCGAGAGGTGTCCGTATTATAGAGGTACTGGGAATGTACGATTTTTGGCTTTTCTGGGACCAAACAAACTGTTCGTAATAGAGAGGTGTCCATGTTATAGAGGTGTCCGTAAGGAGAGGTTACACTGTAGCACTATTTCAAAGGAAGACGTTAATTGAAACAACAAATCCCATGGCACTACTCGACGGTGCAATCAATGAAAAATGTTGCAATGTTGACTGAGGACGGGGAATTCGTCCCCACCCCTAGAGATTTGACAGCTCGAGGGTCCCCAACCCATCCAAGGCGAAAAAAAAGCTAATGCCGGGGGAAGGACTGGGCGTTTAACAGGCCATCAAATTGTATTAAATAAACAAATAAATAGAAATAAATAATATTGATTTTAATTTTTTTTGCCTCGCTCAAGCGACCTGTCAACTTTTTCCGTCTTTTTTTTTTTTTTTTTTGAGCGGGGGGCGCGGCTGTACACATGTACAGGCTAGGTTGGAAGACGTTTTTATTGTACGTGTTAAGGAAATGTCCCCGGTTACGTAATCGTCGTTTAAAAGTTCACCATGTTGGACAAAGTTTTAAACAAGTGATCATGAATTGTAGCCATGATAGAAAAATTGACATCAAAGTCTCACACTTGTCACGTACAATCACGTAATATAGTGCCATGCGTAAGTTGATATCCAAAACATCAAATATTATAATACATATAACGAAAAGGAGTTACCAAGGGGCCTAGATGGCATAAAAAGTTAAATTTTTCAAAGTTTAACTGTAACATACTCTCATTTTATAACCAATCTTTTGTTGGGCTACCGTGACAGTTTGTTGTACTTCACTTTCACGTGTCTGTCACGCTGTGAACATGCTCAGTAGAGACTGAGAAATTGAAGAAATCATGCCATCCGTGCGCCGCCGTAGATCACACACTTCCCCTCGGCTGATGGAATTATCAATGGTCTTTACCCATCACAGTGACTTCATTGGCACAATTTCGTAAATCGGAGGTTTAACGGTTTGTATTTTGCGTTGTTATTTTTATAATATCATCAAAACAACCTTTCAGCTGTGTTTCTGTGCAGCATGGTTTGTTTATCACCTGATGTCATGTGTTTTCTTTGTTTTTCTTCTTCAGTCCCACAATGTCCGCTTCTGACAACGATTCAGATGTCAGTGAAGAGGGAATTTTGTTAAAGATTGAACCTAAAGGTTCTAGAGACTGCAGCGTAAGTACAAGTGCTTCAAACGGATGTATCTTATATTTTTTTAGCGAGCGGCATGCACGAGAGCGCAATTCGACCTTGGGATTTCACATGATGAACAGGCAGTTTTAGTGCTTATGCAAAGATGACCGCTTTTAAAGATGTGCCTATTTTCAAGATTTTTCCAAGTGGTGCTTGCACGACTTCTCAGAGTCTCATAGCCTGGATATGCATATGCATCTAAAATTTACGGGCGGCAAAGCGCCGGGGCAAACTTGTTGTTTGCCGTTACGTCAACACTCTGCTTTGATAGAAAGCTGCACCATGCATTTTAACATCTTTATGCCAAATAGGCGTGGGTCATTACTCTTTTAGGAACTCAGTGGATAATAACAGTGAATTTAACGCTATAAATCTAGCTTTTAGACAAATTTCCAAGTTAACTTTCGTAAATCGCCTTGTTTACACGTCGAGACTAAACGGACAAGCCGGCGAGGGAGGAGTCAAGACAATGACGCTGGGGGTGTGTTGGGGGAGGGATTGTGAAATACTCTACCTTTTCACAGGATGAAAGCTCGATGCGCTGTCGATCGTCCAGTAACTCTTTAAGATTGAAGAACACAGATCCGTGCACCACCTCAGATATACATGTGTGTAATGTCACTTCAGACGAATTTTCCCTCTTCCAATTTATTTATATTCCTAAGAGCCTCACCATGGTCATAATTCACGCTTCATGGTTGCAAGTTTAGTGTCAAAATGCACGTCACCTATATTGCTATACCTAATACACAATTAAAATATCGTACACTAACTTTTTTATACAATGTACACTAGAATGCCTTGAGTAATTTCTTGATTCAAAGTTTCTTATCTCGAGCATTGTAAGGAAGAAACTGCACATTGTAGTTAAATTGATGAAAACACTCAGGAAGTAGAACTCTTGTTCATTATTTGTGGTTAGACACCTATGACTTCATACTGACCGAATGTAGGCATAGTTTTTTTCCTGTTATTGACATGATGATAAATATATGAAATAAATGTTTTCTGGATGCTTGGGAAAGTTGTCTACAATGGTAATGTATATACAAATATTTCCAAGCTAGTAATAATTTATTTTGTACAATCCTGGACTAATGTACAGTTTGTTCTATATTATGTTACCTAGACGAAAGAAAGCACAATAAGCATGTTCTTTTAATATAATACTTAAAAAGTCTGGTAAACTTAGCTAGCCATCCTTCCAGAAACATTGAGATAAATACCTACTGCACATGTTTATCTTGTCTACACAAACGTCCTTCCTAACTGAAACTTAATTAATTTTCCTTTGGCTCAATTGTCAGTTAATTTTAACCCCAAACAAACCCCTGTTAAAATCAAACTGTTTGTATTTCCTTCTGCCACCTTTGGCGTTTGAGATAGTGAGGTATTATGGTAGTACAAGTAATATTCAAATTCTAGCTCTGTAGTTTTTTTAGAACTTCCATTGTACTTTGTATTGTAGGTTGCAACACCTGCTGAATTTGTTAAAAGATTTGGGGGGAAAAGAGTCATAGAAAAAGTTTTAATAGCCAACAATGGTATCGCTGCAGTGAAATGCATGAGGTCTGTGCGACGTTGGGCATATGAATTATTTGGCAATGAGAGAGCTATACGGTTTGTGGCTATGGTCACCCCAGAGGACCTTAAGGTAAATGTTTAAACACAGTAAAGCCTAGTATAGTGCTTATGGCTGGTTGCCCTCCAAAAACATCCATGTAACAGGCTTTAAAGTAATGAAAATACTGACATGCCAGGTGTCATGAACAACAACTGGAAGTTTTTTGGCTTACTTGGTGTTGACTGTTTGACACTTTCTTTCGCTTTTCGGGACAATGATTTGGAGTTAGATCTCCAAGAGGGAAACCTTTAATAAAATCCTGAGTTGCATTTCATGGTATCTATAGCTGTAGGATGACAGACCTTATGAGGTCTATAATCCCTCTACCTGCGATCCTTCTAATGTTTTACCACCAGGTTTTTCAGACATGCTTGCTTGCATGACTGAAGATAAAGGAAATGTGGAATTTGGTTCACATTTCAGAATGTAAGCAAGGGTGCTATCTAAACATCTGCACATGAAAAACCCCTTTTTCTTAAAATGTATTTAAGGGAAACAGGCTGAAAATGGAAAAGGTAATCCTGGTATTTGTCATAAAGGATCAGTGCTTTAAAGTCTGTTCCTATAACAGTCAAGGAGAATCTTTTAAACAAGGTTGCTTAACCCTTTAAGTCCCAATAGTGACCAACAACAATTTTCTCCTAACAATATCCATACACTGTCAAGAGATAAAGTTATGAGAATTAATAAAATGATCATCATAGAGAAAATTCCATGATCTTTTATAAAATTCTCTCAACTAATTCTTAAAGGAGATGTATGGAGATCAGTTTGGAGAATTTGTATGTTGATATTGGGGCTTAAAGGGTTAAAAGCCATTGGATCATGTTTTCATCTTACATCTTACATCATACATTGTACGTTTTCTACAAAAATGTTTTTTTCCAGGCCAATGCAGAGTATATTAAGATGGCCGACCAGTATGTTTCAGTGCCTGGTGGAACAAACAATAATAATTATGCAAATGTTGAACTCATTCTGGATATTGCTAAGAGAGTCTCTGTACAGGTGAGCTGTAGTTAGTAAAATGTTTATCTCAAATTTAGGGATTCCAGCCTCTGGAGATCTAGAATTAAACATGGAGATGGTCTCTTTTGTAGTACCCCCCCTCCTAAAATCAACCCACTCCTCCCCAGAACATAATTTTTTTTAATTACATATGACCCAGTCCCCAAATCAAAGCGTTGTTGTTGCTCAAGACATTAGAAAATCTTAGATAGTAAGTGATGAAATAGAAATAAAAAAGCTGCGCAAATCTTAATAATAATTATTATTATTGTGAAATCATTATGTCATAATAATATTATAACATGTTTTTAAAAATTTTTGGGAAATTTGGGCTGATTTTCAAACTACTGGTAAACTACTGGTAAACAACAGAAAAAAATTCAAAATTGAGATTTGTGAACCAGGACTGAGATTTGCACTGTTAAATCTTGAAGACTGCTGGATAAACCAGGAGCGTTTCCATCAGAAATGCAGCATGAGTAACAAAATTTAGTGGATATAATATACAGTGTATCATCTAGATCTAGAGGTAATCATGCACATGTTAATGGTACACATAATTATGTGTTCAAAATACAAACATATGCTTTAGTCTGCACATTGTATTTATTTTTAGCCCAAAATTCCCTAGTGGTGTGTACCATATTTGCTTGAATAATAGCCGTCCCTCAATTAATTGCTTCCGTTGAATACTCACAGCCCCCACCCACCCCCACCCACCCCCACCCCTCTTGCCTTTTTCTCTTTTGTTTACCCCATCCCTGCCAAGTTAAAGTAGAGTCTGATCCAGCAAAACTGATCAGTGACAATTCAAGCTCTGATGCTGAGGATATTGACATTGAAAATTAATCAAGGAACCAAATTTGGAAGTCTTAAAAAGCCCATATGTGATCATTTTTCTTGTTTTATTGGGATAATAAAACAAAATATAAAGGGCACAACTTCCAGTTAGCAATATTTGAAATAATCGCCTTTCCTTGAATAATCGCCCCCTTTTTGTGCAAAAAATATAATAATCGTCCCCGGCTTTATTTGAGGAAATACGGTGCATGTAGAAGTCTGCCTTTTTACAAGTCTTAAAGTGAATTATTGCTTTAGTTAATAAAAATCTGGATCATTAAAAACAAAATGCTGTTGGACGTGTGTTAAGTGATCACTCGTAGGGAATGGCCAAATGATTACTCAGTTGACCCTTTTCACACACAGCCATGTTAAGTCCCTGGTTATGTTGAACAGCTTTGTTCTTCTCAAAACTTGATCATTCTAAATTTATTCACTGGGAGGTTACATGGTAGATGCGCAAACTGTTTTGTTTTCATGCAAATTATGGAAAATGTTGGCAGCTTGATGAAGATCTACACAGGTTGATGGTTATGGTATTAATAATGCCGTACAATGCCGCTTATAAGCCCATCGGCTTATAAGCCCCCGGTTATAAGCCCACCTACATGCAAACAAAAAAATACATCCGATTATAAGCCCATCCCGATATAAGCCCCCATTACAGTTTTGATTTTGTTTTGAAATTAATTAACTGAACTCGATTTATTGCTGCCTTTTTAAGGCTTTATTGTAAGAGTAATAAATTTAAATCATACGTCGATCAACAGTGCTGTTGCTCATTTCGAAACGTCTTTTTCGTCCGCTTATAAGCCCATCCAGATATAAGCCCCCCCTCCCCTCCCCCTCCCGTTTATAAGCCCACCCAAAACCCCTTACGCACTCGTATAAACCCAGGACTTATAAGCGACAGTTTACGGTACTAGTGTGACTTAATTAATAGCAAGTGACTATATACTGTGCCGATTGAGTTTACTTATACATTGTACTTCTCTTTTGTTAGGCTGTTTGGGCAGGCTGGGGTCATGCCTCAGAGAATCCCAAATTACCTGATCTCCTTTCGAAATATGGAATCACCTTTATTGGTTAGTTATACAATACTGCACCAGAAACATTTTTTTTTTTCAAATTAACCTGCATGCATTAATTTATTGCAGTGGTAAAGTTGGACATTTTCTGCATATTAAAAAGTTATTTGAAAGCAAATGATATGAGCAGTTATCATCATCCTTTTCCAACTGTAAAGCACATGACAGCTGATTGTTTCAACATACCAGTACTTACTGGTAGGACACTTAAAGATAGTTTGAAAGTAATTTGAGAAGTTGAAGAATTTTTTCTTTGATTTCCGGAGGTAGGGAAGGGGGTTTGCAAAAGTTATGGGCAATGGGCAAATTACCGGTGCAACTTTCCAAGAATTTTTTGAAATATGGAAAAACACAAGCCTGTAAGCTTTCAGGCAATTACTTGTAAAAAGCTGCAAATAACTTATCCTACATACAGCTGTATATATTATGGAGAGATATTACTAAAGCCAGCCTCGTTGCACTACTTAAAAACCATTTACAGGTCCTCCTGCCTCAGCGATGTGGGCTCTTGGTGACAAAATTGCATCAACTATAGTGGCTCAAACTGTCGGGGTACCTACACTCCCATGGAGTGGATCAGGTGTGTTACAGATCAGACTCAAGTTGACTAAGGAGGCATTTTTTGGAATGATCCAGATCAGGATAAGTAATCCAAGCCTATATTCAGCCGTCTTGACTTACCAAGAGGAGTAAAAAAAAAGAATTAGTTTAATATATGGCCAAGAGAACCTTTTTGCATGAAATTCCACGTGTGCAATATACATGTACAGTGTATGATGCGTAGTGGCAGGTACAAAACATGGTCACAGAGGTCACAAGTGCAAGTCACTACTCTATTGATTAATAACAGGCAGGTACAAAAGTCGGACTGGATCAACTCGGACCGCCAGTACGGGTCGGATCAACTCCGATCGACTCGGACCAACTCCGATCGAATAAAAAAATAAAAATAACTGGCGGTCCGAGTTGATCCGGTCCGACTTTTGTACCTGCCTATTAATAACTGAGATAAGCAGTTTCCCCTGAAGCTAAAAACTCTATCTTGGATTTTGATTATGGCTATAGAAGAGACTTTTAGTGTTGTTTATTTACCATACCACAGTGACCTGTAGTTTATCCTGGACTTGTGACCTGTGATCTGTGGCCTGTGTTTTGTACCAGTTGTAACATACATGTAGGTGCATTTTGCCCTCTCCGGTAGCAAATTAGAACACAACACTCTCTTCATTTTGCCTACAATTGCAGATCCATCCATAATAATAATAAAGTCAAATATGGTTGTTATTGTCATAAAATTGTCATAAAGTTTGCTTGCATTGGTTTCAGGTCTTACTCTTGAAAAATCATCTGGGGACTTTGTGAATGGGAAAGTTGTAGGCGTGTCTCCTGATCTGTACATGAAAGGGTGTATAGAGGAAGTCAGTGATGGAATCAAGGTGATTAAAACACTTACTTCTTGTTTCAGCTTAATTTATCACAAATTTAATTGACATTCATTTTGAGAAAAGTAAAAGAATACATGTATCAGTGTTTTATGTTTAGACAACATATGCATGCTGTATCTTTATTTCTTATTCCAATATCAATTGCACTTACACCTGCAATCAGGCAGTCTTCCCGTTTTCTCTGTAAGGAGAATTAACATTCTCTTCCTTCCCCCTCATCTACCCACCCCTCATGTCTCTGATTCACATACATGTAGATGTCCTACAGTCACTCTTCTTTTGATATCTGATCTAATTTATCTTCATTTATAACATTATAACTTTTGGGTACATGCTTAAGGATACTTTATCAACCTACAAATTTGCCTTTCAGGTGGCTAGAGAAATTGGTTACCCTGTGATGATCAAAGCCTCTGAAGGTGGAGGTGGAAAAGGAATCCGTAAAGCATCCAATGACGAAGAGTTTACAAATTTCTTCAGACAGGTTTGCTCTTAAGTAGATCATTATAGCCATGAGTCAAAGAACTTATTATTCAAGCAATGAATTATTAGTGAAGTTATAGTAAATACAATTACTGGGTACTCACTTTGTTTTTCTTTACCTACAGGTCCAAACTGAGGTTCCAGGCTCACCAGTCTTTGTTATGAAATTAGCAAAAAAGTAAGTTTTCCCTCCCACAAAGTGCATGTACAGCTGTAGTTATTACAACAGCAGGGTTTTAGACTGCGAAACAGTCAGTTTTTTTTTTCCAAAATCAGGTTTGCAAAGTGCCAGTGTAACATATTTTCACGCAAAGTGCATGGGCCTCATGTGCATGTTTTCAGTGTAGCAGTGTTTCATCTGTTTATGAAAGCTGAGTGGCACCGCTTTAATATCCAGCTGAACAAAAACCATGGCCTTCTTACGATGATTCTTTGGTCCTTAACTTGCTTAATAGTATACCCTTCATTGAGATACTCCTGTAGATGGTACTGTCAGCTTTCCTCATGATCCTGCTTGCCTGTCTGCGAGAGAAGTTTTTTGTAAACCCTATATTGTAAATCTTCAGTCATACTTATTGAGCATGATCAATGGAGAAAATAACTGAAACTTAAATGATAATCTGTATAATTTACTTTTTTTTTCTAGTGCAAGGCATTTAGAGGTACAGCTCTTGGCTGATGAGTATGGTAATGCTATGTCCATTTTTGGAAGAGATTGTTCAGTGCAGCGGAGACATCAAAAGATCATTGAAGAAGCACCAGCTGCAATTGCTAAACCTGATGTCTTCAGAAAGATGGAAGAGGTACACATATTGAAATTTGTCTTGCCTCTTCAGGGAGTATACTTATACCGTGTAACTTTATAAAGCAAAGATATATTTCAAAATCTAGATATGATAGTGATGTTGTTGGAGTGATAAATTGTCTTCTTACCTATCATCTACACATTCTTACATGTACTTTAAATTTTGTCTAGGATGCAGTGAAGCTTGGTCGTCTTGTTGGATATGTCAGTGCAGGAACAGTGGAATATTTGTATCATCCCGAGGATCACACTTTTCACTTTCTTGAGCTCAATCCAAGACTACAGGTACTCCTCGTCTAAAGCAACCCCGATGCTATTCGTTTTCATTTACGATTTTTACTTATTCCATTCAAATGCTTTAATATTAATATATTAATCAGACTGACTCACATGTACAATATACACATTTGCAGCGCTAGGGAAATGATCATGACCGTTGTTGCATTGTATTTGCTGATACTTTCTTCTGAAAGTTAAAAATTAATGAAAATAAACAAGCAAACAAACCGACAAACGGATGAAGGAGCAATGCTGCCTTTATTTGTTTTATTTAAATACAGTGGAATTTGGATTGTATGTGAGATTGCCAACAATGCTTTTTTTGCTCTATGTATTGTAGTCCTGTGTTTTTTAACCACTGAATTCATTTACTAAATGACCATACAAAGAAAACATGTTAATTATTTGTGATTTTTTCTTGTCATTTCTTTTCAGGTGGAACATCCATGCACTGAGATGGTTTCTGATATCAACCTACCAGCAGCCCAACTTCAGGTTTGTAACGGACATTGTGTGCCCCTTTTTGTGTTACTATTTTCAAAAGCAACTGAAACAATATCATTCTGCATGTGTCTGTTAATTAATTGTCCTCTTGCAGGTTGCTATGGGCATTCCACTGTACTGTATAAAGGATCTTAGAACAATGTATGATGTGGATCCATTTGGGACTGAGCCTATAGATTTTGACAAGTAGGAAAAGCACTAAGTCAATAATAAATGAGACTAGTTAAATTTATGTTGAAACTGTCATTCCTGATATTATATTATAAAGTGTTAGTGTCTTAATGTGTGAGGCTTCTCACTTAAAATGGTACTAGGAGATTTACACATTTAAGCATACAATTTATGTGAATGGAGTTATGTTGAATATTGTGGTTGAAAAATTGCTTAAATGCAGAGAGATGTTGAATACAGTCAAGTGTATTATATTTTGGTTATGGAAAGGGGGGGGGGGGAATGGAATGGTGCATTGAGAAAACCAAATTACAAAGAGGCGTTGCTAGTACTTAAATAAGTATGGCTGTACAATGTTCTTCGTTTGTGTGAAAGGGTCTGAGAAGCATTGAGAGTTGCAATGGGTAAACAAAAAAGCTAAAAAGCCTTGAAAGTACAGGAATAATATTCCCTTTTACTTTAATTATTGTAGAAGAGGACAGGAAAAGGTTAATGTTACGTAGAAATATTGCCAAAATGCAGCGAGTTGTTGATAGTTTTTAATGAGATACAATATAAATCAGTCTATTTTATTTTGATAATGGAAAAGAAAGGAAACGCAGTGGAAGGCGCGTTAGCCAAGATTAGTAGAGGCATGTATACTACTGAGCTAAATTCTCCCGACCCCTTTCTGCTGTTATCTAAGGAACTAAATATAGGGCAGAAGAATTCAAAAAGCCAAACGTCAACAAGAGGTTTTTCTTAAAACGACTAAGATATGAAAGCGGAAAAGAGGGGGATTATTTTATAACATTGTTTACTTTCGTAAGGAACATGTACAACCGTTTTGATGTTTTTTTCAAATAATTTTCAGTCCAGAGATCCGTCCTAAACCAAGAGGACATGTCATTGCAACACGAATTACCTCAGAGAATCCAGATGAGGTGAGGTCATAAAAAATCCACCAATACATAGTTCAAAATCTTAAGAGTTTTACACCTTGGAGAATTGTGATGATTCCAGATGGTTGTCAGACAATTCTTGCTCTGCCTGCAAAAAGAGAGAGAAACATCTACATGTTTTACCTAAAAATTTCGGGTGTATCTGGAATTTCTCGGACTTCCCCCTTCGATAAACGTGTGATTGAATCAGAGATTTGGAATCAGTATGTAAATTTGTTGGTTGAACTCTGTCTTAGGGAAGGATAATTGTGTGACAAAAGTTGTTTGATAATGAAATTATTTTATTGTTTTACCTTTGGCCAGAATTTCCATGTACTTGCGATGACACAATTTTTTTCTTGACTTAATCATAGACCTTAACTTGAGGGTGTTACTAATTCCAGATAAAGACTCCTCCTCTTGGTTAAATAACCATGAGTACATTACCAGTCATTATTTTTCCCTATTCGCCATTACAAACATAAGGGAACTGAAAAATAGAAGGATTAGACTAGAGAATTCAGAAAGCCAAACGGCAACAGCGGCAAGGATAAGCACAGCCGGTTAGTGTGCGGCCTTTTGCGCAATCTTGCCGTGTGTAGTTCGATTCCCAGGTGTTACCTTAAATCCTTGTTTCGAATTTCTTTCTTCCCCTTGTAGTTTCTTGTCGCTTTAGATAACCGTGAAACGAACCACTGATGGAGAGAGTTGGGCGGGGGGGGCGTATGGTGAGTGCACTGTTGGCCTAAGGTTTGTCAGTCCAATTTGTGCTGTTACAAGTTACCGTCAGGAAATAAGGACCTTTACCTTTCTTTACCTTAACATCATCAAGGTGTTCATTTGCGTTTTTAACTTTCCAGGGCTTTAAACCCAGCAGTGGCACTGTCAAAGAATTGAATTTCCGCAGCATGAAAAATGTCTGGGGTTATTTCAGTGTAGGGGCAGAAGGTGGCCTTCATGAATATGCTGACTCTCAGTTTGGCCACTGCTTTGCTTGGGGAGAGGATAGAGATGCGGCAAGAAGGTAAGTGCATTTGCAAAAATGTACCTCAACCTCTTGTAGGAGGGAGATGTCTTTTTCATACTTTCCTGAGATGAGCACCTTATTGGACACATGTAGTTGTAAACCGACTCGGCAAGAGGTTTTTACGTTAACGTATTTAAATGACTCCAGAATGAAGGGACTGAACAAACCAGCTTGTAAACTCGTTTTTGGTCAAAAAACGGTTCCTAAAATCCCTGGTTTGTACACTATATAGGCCAAGAACGAATTGAAGCCTAATACTCAGCCATGTTCAATGACAGGAGAAACATAAATTTTGTACAAGTCCACTGCATGCACTATTGTGGTTATTGAGTATTGCTTCGTATTTATTTCTCATTCAGAAACATGGTGCTAGCCTTAAAGGAAATCTCTATTCGTGGGGATTTTCGCACCACAGTGGAATACCTGATAAAGTTGTTGGAACATGAATTTTTTTCGAACAACAAGATCGACACAGGCTGGTTGGACTTTCTTATTTCCAAGCAAGATCAGGTAATTGACCTTAGACTTTCTGGATATATTTTACCCATTATTGCCTCCTTGTGAATATCAAAATGTAATAAAGAAATAGCACCAAGACGTGTGGAGAGAATGAAATCTCACCACATATCAAGTCTTGTTCCACTCACTCAGAACTCAGAAGTACCTTTATTTGCGAAGGCGAAAACTACTATATTGTTTAAATTCCCGCTTGGGTGGTGCCGGGTTTATGTAAACCTGACTTTTGCAATGTCTTGTTCTTTGCACGATTTGCACGTGCAACGTTAGGTCCGTGTAAATCTGCATACACTGCACTTAAAGTCGCGTTTACATTAGGCACCACCCAGGTGGCAGATAAAAGAATGTTAAGGTATTTTCCGCTCTGGCTATTTAACGTTAAAATGGAAACCGTTTTACATTATTTTAAGACTTTTTACATGTTTTTTGTCGTCATTTTGCACAGGCAGAGCGTCCTGACGCAATGCTTGGGGTAATATGTGGAGCCGTTCATGTGGCAGAGGCAGCCATCAGTAAGAAGTATGTCAATTTCAAGTCCGCGCTGGAGAGGTATGATCTTAGTGTAAACAGCTTGTTTAGCAGTCGTTTCCGTTTCCGCCTACATGTAGCGTTGCGGGAGAAGCGGACGAAGCGCCGAGGGAGTGGAGGTGAAATTGCTCATTCTTACCCAATGCCCCCTCGCGTGTCTCGCGTGCACCTCCCGCTTGGTTAAAGGGAAACTGAATCGACTACTTCGCGGGCTATCGTGTAACCTTATGCAACCTTCAGTAAACTTCTTGACTTTTGATAACGGATACAGCAAAAGCATGCGTTACAGAAATTAATTAAACGGTCCCTTGCACTCGCGTCCGAATTTCGACTTGAACCTCATACATAACACTCACGAATGTCTAACCATGAGGTGGCAGATTCAAGAGTGCTAAGAAAGTCTATAACAACTTTATCGCCATTTAAGGCATGTTCAGAAAGAGTCATAGACTTACTTAGCACTCACAAAACTCTGATGAAATTTTGGCTGCCATTTCAGTTTGCTTCATAGGGTGCTACGCGGCCGGGACTGGGGACTGCCAACAAACGGCGAAACAAACAAACTTCCAAAAGAGACTTCCAAAAAAAACTTCCGGACATACCGAGATCTCAGGCACTCTCAAGACAAAAATATGTAGCTGCCTTATGTAGGCAGCAATAATTTCACCATAACCTGGTCTAGGGGTGAGATGGTTAGTGCCAGCTTCTCCGCAAACGTATTTTAAGCCTTCGTTCGGCTACTGCTGTTCATGGTATGAACTTGTTACAGCTGCAGGACTCCATTTCAAGCACATATTTCCTTGCATTATTTTATAGGGGGCAGATCCTATCAACCGACTGTTTAGTAAACCATGAAGATGTTGAACTTATTAATGATGGTGTCAAGTATATTTTAGAGGTAATGACTCATCATAGAAGTGAAGTAGGTTGTCCGGGTTAATTAGTTCCCCTGAAGTTTAAGAGTTCCTTTGGCTGTTTTACAGCTGATACTAGTGGGCAATCGAAAAAGAAAATACATACCGTCGTTGTGCACAGTTTGGATTGTCTCCTAAGTGATTTTAAAAAATGTATCAATTCTGCCAAGGTACAGTTGACTATTTTGATTTCAGCTTTTGTTTGACTTTGTATCTTGAAGATAGACACCGTTCGGAGTGACAATGGGTGTCAATCTAAGAGAAAGTAAAAAATGAAGGACTTAACAGGGGCATGGACTGTCTCCAGGTGTCGGGTCCAATCTTTCCACGACGGCGCTTCCGGGACCGCCACAGAGTGTCCGTCTAAGGGTAGACTTCCACTGTCGCGTTATTTTTTTTACGTGCGGTCGCGCGTAAACGTTAAAGTTGAGCGACGTTCAACTTTTACGTTTACGCGCGACCCATGCATACGTTGCCTCTATTTCATTTACACGCGTAAAGCTACATGCGTGCGCACGTAAAAACTAAGTGACAGTGGAAACTCACCTTGTGAAAGATGTTCTCCCTTTGGAAAGTCAAAAACATGGCTAAAGAAAGGCAGGGACCAAGTCTAAGTGTCCGTCTTATATAAGTATTGTTAATAGACAGTTCACTCACGATTCATTGTGTGTCTGATTTACCTTTAAGGTTTGCAAGTCAGGACCCAACACTTATTTCTTGGTTATGAACGATTCCTGGACAGAAGTGGAAGCTCACAGGTAATTGAGTAATTACAGCTAGTATTTTAACTGACTCGTCCCCAGTCGTCTCGCATTATTAGTATTCGGCGTGGAAGACTAGAACGGGCTCTTTAGTAAATAATTAATGAGTAGAGATAACTTAGAGACGACTGGGGACGAGTCAGGTATTTTACGAAGTTTGAACGTTACCTAGATTTATAACTCAAACATTTGACACGTCTGTTTACAACGTACATGCTCAGTCAGCCAAGGAAACAAGGCAAAACTGTGGATTGTCAACACCACTCGCTTTCGGTAATCCCTAGATGCATATTATAATAATGATTGAAGCAGTCTTGTGAGTAGATTAGTGATTTGGTGAACAAGAGGGGGAAGGGCTACCGGTAGTCAAATTGGTTAACTGTAGAACTCGTGGAGTCATCCCTTTGACGAAAGTCACTCTCTGTGGCTGTATTCTGTTTCCAGATAGCCCAAGAGAGGACATACCTTTTTGTTTTCAAAGAGGGATGTCTTGATCTTGGCATTCTTCTTGATTAAAATTCATGTCTTGCAGAGGCGTTTACAGTAATTTCTCGTGTTTTTATCTTTCAGAATGAGCGATGGTGGATTGCTTTTGTCATGGAATGAAAGCAGTCACACAACCTACATGAAAGAAGAGGTTGACAGGTTAGTGCCAAATAGGCCGCGAAATATACAGGCTCCTCCTCTCTGACGAAATGAAGGCTTGAGTACTCAGATAAAAACCTCTTTGAGCAAGAACGTGAAATCTAACAACGAGCTCAACTCACACATGGCGTGGCCTCTGGTACACAGGAGTAGGAATTACGTGCCCTCATCTCAGCGCCACCCTTGTTTCCCTTCGTAGTAACTCCTTTCGTTCTCTCGGACCTTTAAACAAAGTGTGTAAATCTCGTCCCAAAACGCAAACAAGTAACCAATACACCAACGTTTATCGAAGAACTAGGTTTAGAAAGAAATATCACTGATGAACCACATATACTTTTGCAGCTATAGGTTGACGATCAGTGGAAAAACTTGCATATTCCAGAAGGAGAATGATCCTACTGTACTGAGGTATATTCTTGAAAGGAAACATTAGATCATTTTCGATGAGTTGTTGATACAAGAGAGGAAAAAACAGTACAAATGCGCGATACGAGGAGGGGAATGTAATAGGAGAGAGCAAGAGGAACATATGAGCATTAAGGTCCCTGGGGGTACCCCCCTATATAAGCGATATAGGTATATGCCGCCCCCAAGGGTATGGTTTCAGTTCTGCGCCGTTTCGGTCTATAGACGTTGCCCATTTTGGTCTGGAATCGGGTGTGGTTTTCGAGGAAACTACGTGAGTGTATGAACGTATTTGTCGTTTCAATTCCAAATGAATGAAAGAGAAATGTGCAAATTCAAAATGAATTTTAAGAAATCTTTTTGTTAGCGTTCTAATCTAAGTAATGATGACATAATTTCTGCCTAATTTCTGTCCACTGATAACTCTTGTTCATTTGCATGTGTTTCATAAGAATGTATGATACTGCCTTTTCGACAAAGTGAACGCCCAGATGTCAGCGTAAGGGTTTTTGTTTCTAGGTCGCCTTCCGCCGGCAAGCTCATACATTTTGTTGTTGAGGATGGCGGTCATGTCTTTCAGGGGGAATCTTACGCTGAGATTGAGGTGACTAAATTGTTTGGCTATTAATATTTCTGCTTTGTCATCTCATTATTTGTATGTCGATGTATGACGACTTCTGACTGTTGTAGTCATGTGAAAACGTTCTTGAATGTTCCCTTTTGTAGGTTATGAAAATGGTCATGCCTTTGATAGTCAGTGAAAGTGGATGGTAAGCCCCAATAAAATAAATTGTATTCAGCAGAATAGACGAGCAGGTGCTTTAACGTAACCTTAGGCAACTTAACAAAATTCAAAAGTTCACCACAAACTTTTGAAATCATTTAAAGATGTTTCGAAAATTGTAAAAAAATTATTCGGAAAGCCTTCGACTTTAGGTAAGCTTTCGATGCTTTTAAGAAATACCCAAATCATTAGGCATCTAATTTTGTTCTGTTTTGCTTCGTCAATAGTGTTCACTATGTCAAGAACCCAGGAGCTGTATTAGAACCTGGTTCAGTTGTTGCCAAGTTGGAGCTTGATGATCCAAGCAAAGTTACTCAGGTAATTATTATTTTTTTTCTGTCGTTTTGAGAAACGTGATAAAAAGATATTGTTTTCCTCAGTTTTTCCCTTGCGGTTTGGGAAGGGAGGGAGCATTGTCGAGTTTTAAGCGGGTCGGACTCACATTTTCTATGATCAAGTGTTGGAGTTCATTTCTGATCACTTGCTGGAGTTCTTTGTCGGCATTCCCAAGCTTACATTATTTAACTCTTGATAAATGCTTGTAAATAGCTAGTTGGCTGCCTCCTAGCTGGGGATTTTTCGATATGAATCGTTTACATTATTTGTTTTACATTAGCTTGATAGAGTGCCTGCAAACTACAATCATGGACAAAAGTCTTGGGACACTTCTGCGTTTCTGGGGCGTTTATCAATTCACACAGGTCCAACCCCTCCCCTCACCCCACAAACAATGTTGGACGCGTGTATCTAGAATTTTTCCGAGTTTCAACTTTGCATAGGGTGGAAGGAGGAAGAACTGCAGGAAAATTTCGAAAAAGATGCACTGTTTTAAGAGGGAACCGAGAAATGACAGAAAAATATGAATATTACATTACTGTCCCAAGGACTTTTGTCCGGAACTGTAGCTTGAGCGGCTAGTAGCACCTCCACTATAAACAAAGATTCAGCTTCTCTTTTCATTTCATTTTACATTTCAGGCTCAGCTCCATTCTGGCCAGTTCCCTGAAACACCAGGGCCTAAGCTAAAGGGAACCAAACTGCATCAAGTAAGCAAAATTATTGTACTTCTTTTCTTTCATGCCAACTTTAACAGGGTACTGATAAGTCGGAGAATGCAAGTAAAATGTTAAAGTGTTGGCATGTTAAACGAGGTTGGTACTAAAAGCAGCCACAATTGCTCAGGGTATTTTTTTATTCTACAGCTCAATAAAATATTTTTTGAAAAACAAGACAAATGAAATTAAAGTGATGTCAAAACACTGAGGACCCCATTTTTGGGAAAAAATAATCAAGAACTAGAGAATTGCTGGAGAGTAGGAACGTCCTGAAAGCTGTTTAGAATATAAGCGTTGCGCTGCGCCGTTTCGAGTGGAAGGAGAACGGGTTATGACGTGAGGAATCGCTACATGACGAGCCAATAGCACGAAGAAAACTTCGCCACGGAGAAGATTTATCGTAACGAGCTACTAGAATTACTGTTATTGACATAACAGAAACGAGTAGGACTGAGTTTGTTTGGTTTAAAGCTTAATGCAAGAACTGGGTGAATTTCTCACTCCACAAAATACGATTTTTTTTCTTTTTTCCTGTTTTTTTTGGAGAGACGTTAACAAAGCTTATGTTTTATGAGATTTTGAGGCGCCCATTGTACATCAATTTGGCTAGTAATTCTTCATAAATTAGCACTCTGCTACACGTCGTATTTTTTAAATCTTTTTTGTGTTTGATCTGTGTTAAACATGGTTGTGAAATGTCAGGAAATGGTTGGGGAAAAAATTTCTTCAAGGTCAAGGAAAAGTCAAGGAAAATTGAAGTCTTTGAAAGACGTCAACAAAAGAGTAAATATTTACGGTTTTCCCTCTACTTTTATTGTTTTCTGACATTCAAAATTCCTTTGTACATTGTGCGGACATGAATCATGTTGTATTGGTAGAATATTTTTCATGAAATTGAATCCTTTTTGCATGTTATGGTAAGGAACAATCAATTCATGTACACTGCACGTGACTTGCTGAAAGTATTAATAAATGGGTGAAGAGGATGGCTGTGAAGGAAGGGCTGAGTTCATTTTGTGGACTAATGTGTGAAATTGTTAATTCAGTTGGTCAGGGAAAATTCAAAATTTCAGAAACCTCTGGTTGTGGCAACCATGTTAAAGACACTTCTTTCTGTTTGGTAAACGTTATACAATTTGAAAGGTTTTTCAAGTTGCCCGTGAAAATCTGCAAAACATCATGGATGGATACGGCGTTGGAGAGCCATTCTTTTCAAGGAGACTGGAGGAAAATGTCAACTTGTTAATGAAGGCGTTAAAGGATCCTGCATTACCATTACTGGAGCTACAGGTGATATACTCGACAATTATTCCTCAAGCCAGAATGGGCTCTGAGTCAATAGCCCATGAGGCCAGAGGCCGAATGGGCTATTGACTCAGAGGCCATGAGGTGAGAGGAATAATTATTTTAGTAAGATCCAAGTAGTATCGAGACAAAACAACTTTAGCTAGCTAAAGCTAGACTTTGATTCTTTTTTTGCTGCCAAAAAGCCGGCGCTTTTTGCTACTAGTGGGCTATAACATATAGCGTAGTAGTAGCTCAACCAATCAGAATGGAGCATTGATGATAGATCACTAGTTGGATTTTACTAAAATCACGTAACCCTTTAAGCCCCAATACTGATCAACATCAACTTTCTCCTAATAATATCAATACATAATCAAAAGAAATGGTTGTGATAATTCAGGAAATGCTCGCCATAGGGAAAATGCTTTGATCTTTTAACAAATTCTCTCAACTAATTTTTAGGGAAATGTATGGAGATCAGTCTGGAGAATTTGTTTGTTGATATCGGGGCTTAAAGTGGTAAACACCTAATGCATTTGGCTGAGTTCGAATGGGTTGGTATCAACCTTTTTCTTTTGGTTGGGCTCCCTGTTTAGCTGTTTTGGTTGACTATATTCCTGAGATATCGATACCCAGTGACATTCACTCGGGCAAGTTCATTTTTACCTGGAAACATTAACATTCATCGTAACTTGTCTACTTCATTTCTAGTAGCACAGCTGCTTCCTCTTGAAACGTCGTCCCTCGTAATTCGAAACCAGTTTGGATGGCAACGGTTCATCCCAGTAGAATATGGCCACATTTTTGGTCGCGAAGAGAAAGGATCATTTTTTGGATGTAGTGTCTAAACTTAAAGCACTTGAATAGCGTGCCAAAGTTCGATTTTTATTTGGTTTTTTACGCTGATAATTTCTTTGTAGGGAATGCTTGCGTCCATTTCAGGGCGTATTCCGACAACGGTTGAAGAAAGTATCAAGAGACATCTCTCCAGTTATGCCAGTAACATAACATCAGTATTGAGTCAGTTTCCCAGCCAACAGGTGAAGAACGTTTCAAATCATTTTACATTATATAATAAGTTTTGCTGTGACTGACTTGCCGATATTTAAAAGCACTTCTCGAATCCATTTTCAATGAGGACCTGAAGATGGTCTCATTTGAATAGTGCCTCTCTCACCCAAATAAAGGTTCTAGAAAGAGAAAGGTTCTAGCCTGGCTCGTTAAATAGTGATTGTTTTTATCTACATAATAAAAAACCGTTTTGACACCGGAGACTAATTCGTATTACTGGGATAATCCAGAACGGTTTTCATCAGTGAGCGTACGCAATAGGAAGGAAGACGGCAAACCATGATTGACAAGTGTGGTAAAAATTATGTTTAAAAAAATTGTGCTAAATTTCACCTTTCTTTAAACAGACCTTTTTTATAAGACCAGTAATGTTAAGTTTAAAACCAAATAAAAATCGAAGATCACCGTGTCAGCTTTGTCCCACACAGGTATTTTCCCGCCGCCTTCTTCCGCTTTGTTGCATAAGGTGACTATTTTGGAGGAATAATCTGTCGGACTTTATCCTTCTGTTTATTCGTCTATTTTGACGGAACGGTTCTATCTATACACCTGACTGCGTTATTTCCATTTTAAAGGACTGACCGTTCTAGAAGTTACTAGCCTGCGTAGCTGGCGGTATTGTGTACTAGGCGAGTGAGATTTGGCGGCGGAGCCGCTGTACCAGTCGAGTGAGAGTTGGCGGCGGAGCTTGGATCGCGGCTCCTCCGCCAAAACTTTAATCACACAATACCGCCAGCTGCGCAGGCTAAAAAGTTACGAGCGAGGGAAGTATAAAAACATTTTCATGCATGGGAAACAATTCCCCAACCCCCGCCCTAACTTTTCTAATTGTCCGTCCATTAATATGTTTATACCATAGTCCAACACTGAATATACACAGCAATGAAATGCTTGTGCAAGTTAATTGGCTCACATTTAGGACTCGAGAATGTTTAAACAGAGCTGACATAATGTGATTTAATTAATTATAACAGATTGCCAATGTTGTTGACGCTCATGCTGCAACATTGACCAAGAGAACTGAAAGAGATGCATTCTTTTTGAACACACAAAGCATTGTGCAACTAGTTCAGAGGTAACTACAACTTTCAGTGTTATTGTTATTGCGTTTTGGTATTTAATGAACCACTTGAGGGCTTCTTTATCTTGTAAAACTGTTCAGACAGCCATATTAAAAATTTTGAAGTTTGTCCTTCTTAATCCTTGTCCTTGTCCTTAGTTTTTTATAAACTGTTGTTACAATATTTTTAGTCACAGAGTAATAGGACTTAACATATGGTGACAGAGCTCTTGTGCGAAAACATTTTCTCTTTTCTTGATGGCCGCAACATCCTTTACTGTATTCTGAGTAGTGTAGAGTGTTTTCACATGACGTCACGGCGGCCATATTGGTGTCCCAAAACAATGAAACGGCGGCCATGTTGGTGTCCCAAACGGGTCCTGTGGGAGTTGAACTCTTTTCTTATGCAAACGCTTTCTTTTGTTCCAGTAAATTTGCATAGATGCTGGCCACGTGAGTGAAAACACTCTATAGGCTGCACCGAATTATTCTTTTTTGCGAAGGAAGCTCGGTAACATTAATGCCGATGACGTCAAAGTCGTTTGTCTTTAATTATCTAATGCGGGGGAATCTCATTAAGGCATGTGCTATTTTCGGATGGTTTAAGGTGACTCGACCCAGTTTTTTTTTTTGGGGGGGGGGGGGAGGTACCATCCTACTTTGAAGCTTTCTGGTATCCCCACCTTTACTTTTATCGTAAGTCTAACACATAGAATGGATAACATATAGATCAATCCATAGACTGTTCACAGTCCCCTATTTTTCCGTGTGATCGTCGAGATCGAGCGCGTCTTACTGTTAATGGCGGCCGTCTTGATTTTCAGTCGTACCGAGTCTAACCTGGGGAAGAGTATCAAATCTACTTAGAGCTATAATCCCCGACGCCCGCCCCCTCGGTACATCTAAAAATCAAGATGGCCGCCATTAACGGTAGATGATAATTTTGGTACAGTGAGACAGGCCATCGCGTGATACATGGAGGTTTAACTCACAATTTTTAATCAACTCTCGTGCTTCTTGTGCCTTTGCAAAAAAAATCAAGAAGTGCTACACACTAAATCTATCTAATGATCTCTAATCATTTTTTCATAGGTTTAATGCAGGCCAATAATTAAACCAACTCGTGACGTGAATCCCTTCTATTATCTCATACTAAATTATCATATCTCGGTGAGCATTCGGAAGTCAGCCAAGCGTGGTCATTGCACGCGTGCTGAACAAGAATGCTGTATAATGACAGACTAGAAACAATAGACAACTCCCAAAGCACAAACTCAGCCAAAACGCTAAAAATCTTCAATGTTTACTCAAGTTTGGGCTTATAGAAGATAATGTCACAGTTTTTCAATGACCATGAAATTCAGAGTCCGGGTAGTTAGTTAATCAATTGTGGCCCTGAAAAAAATTGAAGGAAAAAGAACTACGAACTTTTAAGAAAATGCTTTTTTCGTGAGAAGGACTCTTCAACGCGACCAACGTCAACAAATAGCGAAAATTATAATTTCTATATGTTTGCTTTGCTCGAAATCGCGCGCATTTACAAGGCCCTAAAGCTGTTTGCTGACTTGCAAGGACCCATCTGTTATAACGATGCCCAAAATAAAGGGATGAATTTCATAGTTTATTAGATATAATCGTGTAAAGTTTGCTTGCCATTTTCGCATAAATTGACCTAAATTTGGAAACCGCTGAATTTCTCGAATTGGGTCTTTGCGATTTTGGTGAAACTCTGTTCAGCGCAAGGCACTAATGCGCACTATGTGTAGCCGAGAGATTTTCACGAAAAAATGCTGGCAACAGCAGATTTTCGACTCAGACCTCAAAGGGGCGTGGCATTATGACCACGTGACCTTTACTCCGATCGCGAAACATTTTACGTTATATTGTAGATTGATTTATATGTTATCCATTCTATGTGTTAGACTTACGATAAAAGTAAAGGTGGGGATACCAGAGAGCTTCAAAGTAGGATGGTACCCCCCCAAAAAAAACTGGGTCAAGTCACCTTAATCGCTTTGACAGGTTTTATGGTTATTTTTTAAGTGGATGGATGTCTTGGTTTCTTTATTGGTTGACCAAAACTAAGAAAAGTATTTATTGGTTGATTCATGTTGTTGAAGGAATAAGCCCTAAGTGACGTAAAATCACTGAGCTGTAACATTGTTTTGCAAGTTCTATTTATTGAAGCTTTCATTGTTCGTTGTGGAAAACAAATTGTTCTAGTTCTGGTTCACTGTTATTGAAGGCAAAGAAAAACTAGCACTTTCTAGCAGGAAACACATCCTGCTCCCCCCCCCCAAGCCACCCTCACCTCAATTATTTCGTCTCTTCTCAATTTCTGTTACTCTCCACCACCACCACCACAATTCTATTGTTCTCCCTCCACTACCAACGTAATAAACACGCATTTGATAACAGTTACTTTACGAGCTTTGTTGAGCTTGTTAATCGTTATAATACTAGATACCCTTCACTACCAACGTAATATGCACGCATTTGATAACAGTTACTTTACGAGTTTTGTTGAGCTTGGTTAATCTTTGTAATGCTAGATACCGGAATGGAATCCGTGGTCACATGAAGGCAGTTGTGTTGAGTCTGTTAAGGCAGTACCTCAACCATGAAGTACTCTTCAATGAAGGTATTATCATTATTTGTATGGATGTAACCGGCAAGCATAAACAGAGTTAATCTAACCTGAATATATGTTTTTTGCAAGTGAGATGGTTTTCGTTGGTGGCAAACACTCTATAGAAATCGCTCGTACCATCTTATTTACCCTTTTTCACTCTTGCAACTCAGTTAGCAGAACCAAATTTGAATTGAACTAATCCTCCCACTGTTTAACAAGCCAAGTTCGTTAATTTTGTTGTTCTTTCCTTGCCTATCTAGTTAAAGCAATAGACCACACTTTCTATGGGTTTACCGGCGTGATAACCCACGCGGGATGTTGGAAGAACACGAGAAAAGCTTGTAAATCACGAGCCGAAGCGAGTGATTTACAAGCTTTTCGAGTAAAACGGAAGTAAAATGGAAAATGTTTCAGTTTTCTATGAGTTTACCGGCACAATAAACCGTAGGTTTTCAACCAGTAAGAACACGCGTATTATCTTTAGTTAGTTATTTTATAATTATTAACATATAGCAGTGATGACGGTATACACATTTAAAAAGTATCACCAGGGCCCAACATCCTGTACTGTAAGCCCCTTTTCATTGAGACCCAAAAGAAACCACTTATTACCAAAGTTTTGGAATTTTGCTCACATACCGGCAACTTATTTTCATAAAATGTTCTCCTTTAATTCAGGAAATTTCGAGAAGTGTGTGACTCTGTTGCGTGACAAACACAAGAGCAAGGACCTTGCGCCAGTTGTGCAAAGTATATTTTCTCATGAATCTGTGGTCAAGAAGAACCAGCTGACGATAAATTTGATAGTAAGTACAAAATTTAATCTTTACTAAAGAGATAATGATGGCTTCAAACGCACATAAATAGTTAAATTTCTCGACGTAATTTATGGTTAGGTAAGCTCACAAACTCGTCCTCAGGGCCTTCCGCCATATTGGAAATCGACAAGCCCATGAACATTGGTAAAACAATTCTCTTCAGGGTTACCTTGGTCCAGGAAAAGTCAGATAGAAACAAAAGTTTTCAGGGTCAGGAAAGGCTCAGGGAAAATCTCAGTTCTTTTATTTTACAAAGTATGAAAAAACGAAGAATTTCATTTTTAGCTTGACACAATTATTCGCAAATTATAGTTTTATCCCAAAAGAACGTTGTGTACGGTTCGTTGTTAATCGATTGTGATGCTCCAAATCTCTTGGAAACAAAAGGAATAAACGTTGAGGTCAAGAATGTGGACAGTGTGCAAAATATGCCTAAAGAAATACGAAATTCAAAGCCGTAGAGGAAGTTTCGAAAGTCGAGGTTTTCTTCGCTTTCTAATGAATATTACCTGGTCCTAAAAATTGTATTTGTTTTTCTAGGACCAGCTGTGTGGCCGTCAGTCTGGTTTGTCAGATGAACTAACTCATATTCTGCAAGAGCTTACTACACTCAACAGACATGACAATGCAAAGGTGGCTCTCAGGGCAAGACAGGTTTGTTTGTTTTTTCCCTTCTCTTTTCTTCTTCGTCTGTCTTTTTCTTGCTCGCTTTTCGTCTCTCCCCTTCTTCTCTTCTTTTTTTGTGTGGAATAACCAGGAAAACGAGCTTCACAATAAGACGAATCTCAATTCTCTCAAGTCAGTTTTGACTTTGTCTTCTGGCGTGAGGGATTTGCGATAGTACCTATATTAGTTTCTATTAGTATATTCCCTTTTTAACTTTAGTGTTTAATATGTAGGATCATGTAATTTATAGTTTAGTGTTCTTCTAGCATTTTTTTTTTCGTAAAAATTTGTCATGTAAACAGCTCACTTAAAGAGCATTTTTGTAATGAAGTGATACTGTTAATAAAGCTTGATTGATTTGACCCACAGTGTTTCATTTTAAAGTGATTTTGTCATCAGCATTACTGGGTATAAGCTGGTACAAGATCATGATCTGTGAGAGCTGGGAAAACGCTTTTTTAGCTTGTTTAAACAGGCTGGTGTATATTCCCTACCCAAGTTTTTTTTTTTTAATGTTTTTTACATGGCTAGCCTGCGGACTTAGACCTATTTCCGGTCTCTCCGCCTGAAAACGTACTACATAGCGTATACCTATAAAATTGCTCAAATCTGCTAAAACTTTGAACTTTCCCGTTCCTTTTCAAGTATGCTTCACTGCAGAAACAGAACCAAAACAGTTCCGTTGGCGAACATTCAGCCTCTCTTGGAAAAAGTTTCGGGTACATTAGTTTTTTGTAGAAGTACGTGTATGACTGAAGCCACTGCCATCATTGAAACTTGCTATGTTTTTAGGCACTTCTGGCCGCTCAACAACCTTCATATGAGCTTCGTCACAACCACATCGAGTCTCTGTTTCTCTCCGCCATTGACATGTCTGGCAACCAAATGGCTTCTGAGAGTTTCCAGGTATAATGCTTATAGTCAAGATTGCGTTTTATATCTCTAGTTGGATTGTAGAAGACTCTATACAATCTTGACGCCAATAACGACCCTCTGCCTGCCGCGGTGACTTCACTTAACTTATTTTTAATCTCCTTTGTAATGGTAACCCCTCTACAGGTCAGCACTAGTAAAGGGAAATGTTTTACGCGTTTTCTTTCTTTCTTTTTTTTCGCGCGAAGAAATGCAATAACACTCTGACTTCATAGTGATAGTGTATTATCTCTAGGCCATGGATGCAATGCAGGATAATCTTGACAACGGTTGCAGCAGTGCAGCACGGATACTTTAGGCCGGTTTTTTTTTTTTTTTTTTTTTTGAGGAAAACGGTAAAATGCATTACAACATTGGCGTCATAGTGTTCTTTTTAAGGTATCAATACAATACAAGATTATCTCATTAGCGGGTTCGGGGGTAGTACATTAAGACAGACAGGTTTGGCAATTATGTCACATTTTCTGTTTTATTTTATGATGGTCATGGCGAGTTGAACCAGTTTGACGGGTTTCTCAACCGGTTTGACGTCTACTTTACTTTGAATCCATGACACCCTGGTTGTGCTGATTGGTTGACTAGGTTTAGGTTTAGGAATGCCTTTTTTGTTGTTGTCCCGATTTTACAGATGGGTGAACCTGAATAGAATTTGTAAACTTGTGCAAATGATTGAATATTTTTTCTTTGCTTTAACAGAAATTGATTCTCTCGGAAAATGCCATATTTGACATTCTTCCAAGCTTTTTCTACCACGCCAATGAAGCAGTGAGGAGAGCAGCTATAGAGGTAACCTCATATTTCTCATTTTTCCTGCCAACATTTTCTATGCTATACGTTGTAAGTCGTGTTTGTCCTTGTCGTTTCACGATGTTACACATGCAAGCATCATTTTGCCAAGAAAATCAATTTGGAACCAAACAGCCAAACAAATCTTACACAAAACACTGAATTTGTGGTATTTTGTTTTTGGCAGGTTTACATTAGGCGTAGTTATCAAGCGTACGAGCTGACTACTCTTTATCACGAGAAGGTACCTTCTTTCTCTTTTCTTTCTTTCCCGCCACGTAGTTATTGTATAGTTATGGCGAATCAATTTGAATCAAGTCCTGTGACTGTCGTCTAATGAGTATCTGTATTGGACCAGTGAGGGTAGGTCTTAGTTACCAAATGCATGTGTTCAACTGTATTCTGCAGATTGACGATAATGTCTTGGTCGTCCAGTTCCAGTTTATACTTCCAAATGCACATCCAAACAGGTTTGTACGTTGTGATACATCGGGCGCAATTCACTGGCCGCATTCTAGAAGAAAGAAGTGCAAATTTCGTGTTTGTGACACAAAGAGAGGCATACGAAGGAGAGGGTTATAGAAAGTGACCGCGTTACAAGTGTTCGTAAGGATAGCTTCAACGTTTCCGCATAATGGCTCAGTTAAGATGTAGTTACATAGCAATATCGATATAACGAACCCATTCTTAACAAAGTTCTCGGTGTAACGAAGGATATTCGTCGCCTCAGTAATTGTAAAATTACGAAAAACAACCCCGATATAGCGGATTCCATTTTTAACAAATAGATTTTGCCACTCTTTAGGCCGTTTGTTTCATTAAGGCTCCACTTTAAACGTCATAGCTTCTTTGAAAATAGAACAAGGGCAAAAGGCGAAATACTGTTCAGCTAATTCAGCTAGTTTGGGTAAGGATGTGTCCACGTAAATTAAAAAGTGTAGTGTCTTAAGGCACTGGTGTTATCATGGTAGTGGTTCCCTTCCAAGATTGTCCATTCTTGATCGACGACAGCAAAACTTCTCTTCGTAACATTTCTTTTGTATTGTCCTTAGGATGCCACAGAGATATCCTTCCACTAAAACTGTACTTGCTATGCCAAGGGTAGGTAGAGATACAAGTTCTAAGACATAACTCTCAATTCTACCTCCCATTGAGTCGGTTGTATTGCACTACAGGTGTAGATCTTAGGGCTCTTACCATTAATCAGTACCGGTCGGCTAAACCAGTCCGGTCGTTAGAAGAATTCCACTATTAATCAGGACTATCCAGCCATCTCAGTTTACTTTAAAATGGTACGCACGGCAGTGATGGGTTCTAGCAAAACTTTCGAGAAAAGACTAAATAAATACTGTATTTCTTTTTTTAAAATGACCGGTCTGACCGGCCAATTCTGACTTTCGAAAAGCGCCCTTAGTTTCAGTATTTTGTTAATTTTTTCATTCATATATTTATTTTTTGAAACGTTTTTGATTTTTTATGCATTTTTTTCTAGGTTCGCAGTCTCAGTGAAGACATGTTCGACCTCATGAACCAGCAGCCATTAAAGCCGTGTCAGAGAACTGGTGTCATGGCAGCGTTTCAAAACTTGTCAGAATTTGAAAGGTATCATTACAGTTTACAAGTCTCGTAACCTTTTCTTGATAGAAAGTCATTTTTTAAACAGTATACTAGACAGTAATTAGAGAGCTTTAGATTCTAAGACGAAGACGAAAAAGAGGAGATTTTCCCAATACTAAGTAGTGCGCGCGCGAACCAACGTCATTTTGGCGGGAAAATGTGATAGCCGTCTTCATTCTACTATGAGTTTTAACGAGAATATCGTAGTGGCGAAAATAAGTTATCAAATATTAGGAATTTTATCATTTAGCTAGCGGGAGAGGGCTTTACCTCCTTTAACGGAAATAAGCGAACTAACTTTTGTGGTAAAAAAGAAAACTACAATGAAGCTTTCCGAGGTGTCTATTGTTAGAGAATAGGCGAGAAAACTTAAAATTAAATGTCGTCCTCGAATCTACAGCCCTGTAATATTCTAGTCCACAGAAATAATAGAGACCTTTATATTCAAGGACGAGGACGACTACTAGTACGAGATTTGACTTGAAGTGTTTTCGCGTTCTATCAAATTGTAGACTCCCCTGAAAGCTTCATTTTACCATTTTTCACTAGAAAAGTTAGCACTGTTACCTTTAGTGAAAGAGGTTATACCCTATCCCGATCGCGAAATGCTAAAACTTCTGAAGTTTGATAACTTGTTTCCGCACTTCTACATTGTCGCTAAAACTCGTAGTAGAGTGACAACGGCTACCACATTTTCCCGCCAAAATGACGCTGGTTCACGCGCGTACTACTTGGTATCGAGAAAATCTCGTACTCGCTGACGTACTCGTCTTAGAATCTAAAGGTCTCTAATTCTTTGTAGACGAGGAAAGTGACGTGCAGTCAAACCCCGTTAATACGGGGGGCCATAAAAAGTGTCCGTATTAAGCCGGTTGAATTTGGAGAAAATATAAGGGATTTCTTTCCCCAGGGACAAAGCAAACTGTCCGTAATAACGAGTTTTCCGTATTAAGCGGGTGTCCGTAAAGCGGGGTTTCACTGTAGTTCATTGTGTAACGTTGCCTGTGTTTTCCAAGCGAGTCAGGAAGATTCTTTGGAGCTTACATTAAACGTAAATGTTACTGTAGTCTAAACAAAAAAATCAAATGCAGGTTTTTCGCAAATAAAAGGTAAAAGTGTAGTAAAGGAGTGGTTAGGAACCACTTGGCCTTCTTTTGCGAACCATGCAATTCATCTTAAATCCTTGCCGATGTTTAACTACTCTCTTCCGATCCTCCTCGAGTCAAAGAAAGTTCAGTAATTTTACCCAGGATGAGTGTGATTTCGTGTAAAGTTTACTTTATTTTGTAACACTTTGTTTCAGAAATTTTGATGAAATAATGAACCGTTTTGAACCAGCAACCCCTGAGAACCTTTCTCCATCACCGACTTCACGAAGGATTGGCCTCGATCCTCTTTGGGAAATGGAAAGTAAAACAGAAGTAAGTAGAACTGTGCATGGATCGACCCTTTGAGTCTTTATGGTCAGCAATGTAGATAATTTTCAAAAATTCCAAGTACCTTATTGTAAAATCCTAAGACAAATTGTACTATGCATATCTTCTGCGAAAGAGGTTTCTTTTGAATGGTAACACCATAGTATCTCGTCCATAGACTCAGAAGTTACAACTACATACTGAATGAATAGTTCCATGTGAAAGTACTGCTGAAGAGGTTTCATTTAAATGGTAACACCACAGGATTTCGTCCATAGATGCCGAAGTTAGCATGACTAATCGTCTCACTATAGCTCAGTCTAAAATCAACATGTTTAATGGCACGTACTTTATATTAGAGGAAAACAAACTTACAGCAACTGGCTCTATTTTCGTTTTGCTTCTACAAACCGTCCAACGCCCGCTTTTCTAATTGGTTGACACTCTGAAACAGGCAATTAAAGTTGCCCCGCTGCACTCTCCAATACACTCGCAAATTTCTTAGTAAGCAATAGAACAATTTATTGTATTAAAAATTCTCATACGTGGCTCCCAGCTTTGGGGGAATTTGCCATTTCCGCATTGCGTATAATAATTGGTGATTACCATGAATTGAGCAAAAAATTTAGTTATTCATCGCTGAAGTTATTTCTTTTTTTATATCGAAATTCGTCAATTCGAGATCGTCTCGAAGAAAAAGATAGAATATTTTAGTCCCCACAAAAAACACCTTTTCGATTTTTCCAATAATTATGTTGCCATCCAGGCAGGTTGTTGGATCAGGTCGTTTCCCAGCAGCCATCTTAGGAGGAGTTTTATGTTGTACAAAAGCTTTCAACTCAGAGCTGTCCATAAGAGCCGGCTGCCTTCTTATTTTACCCAACCATGATTCAAATTGCCCTGAAAAAGAAAAACATGGGTAATTTCAAAGGTGTAGTTGAGTAAAAGACATAGGTAACGTAATGAAAAAAGCCTGCTTAGCTTTTCCTTAGCTACATCCCAGTTAACTTATGCCAAATACCATTCTGAATCTTCTTCCGTTTTGAACGAAGTAAATTCAGATTTGCGTTTATATGTTTTCTTTCTCTCTTTAGCCTGACGCTGCAAAGGAAGAAGAGCCGGTTCACATTATTAATGTCGCCTTGAAAATCGAAAAGAACTGCAAAGATGTGCAAATTTGTCGCAAGATGGTGTACGAGTTCACGCAGTCCAAGGTAATGCGCTGGTTTATATCAATTGTTGTTGTTGTTGTTTTTAGCGTATACAGATTTAGATTTCGGAAAGAATGAAACGTCTTTGACAATCTAACGGAATACCACATACCCCCTCTACTCTTGTGTTCCAACTATCGTGCTTTCGGACAATCAGAGTTTTCCACAAAATTTTCTGAGCTTAAGGCAGCAATTTACCCGTACCTGTTTAAGCAAGAATGTGTAGCAAAATTTCTTAGATTACCAAGTGACGTCCTTCAAAGTTCAGTTTATAGAGAGGAGAAGTGTGACGTCACGTTACCATGATTACAAAATTTCTGAATCTCAACAATCTTTCTTGACCGAGACGGCCATTTGCATTGTCGAACGATGGAAGCGAGCTAATGTATGCTAAAGTTTTGCTCCTGATTGCAATCATGCACAGGAAATGCATACATGTCAATTTTTTCGGGTTTTTTCCTGCCATATTCACCGGAACACGGAAAGAAAAATATTGTTTTGTGTGCCCTTAGTCGATTGTTGTAGACCAGTCACTGTGTGCAGGGCTGTAGTGTTTCTTTTCTTCGTGTGTCGTTTCAGAAAGAGATTCTTAAGGACAAGGGGATAAGAAGAATAACTTACTTGATGAGCGATTGCAAGGTATGGCCGGCAATACTGATTGGGAGGTTTGGAGATTAAAATTAATTAACATTCAGTTCTTGTGTCATGTTTGATACAACAACATCTCTGTCAATTCAATAACAGCTTAAAGGAGAGATTGTTTCCCGATCGTAAAAACGTTAGGCACTTTGCAATAATTGATCAACTTTCTTTACTAAAACCACGAAAACAATTCGTTGTAGTAAAACGATTTTAGCAGGGAACTGAAAGAGCATACAAATTCTTGTAAATTAGAGGTCTCAAGTTTTCTTTTGTTCATAACAGAAAACTTGAGCCCTCAAATGCGTCAGGGAGAGATTTTTACGATAGTGAAAACATTTCAAAATTGTCAAGGATTTGTATAGAAGCCACTGAGCAATAATTTCTTCTGCAGGGTATGCTCCCGTGGTACTTCACTTTCCGAGCGCGAGATGATGTAAGTATTACACCTGTTTGTAGTAAGTTGCTGGAGAAATGAGCAATTCCTCTATTTCGTAACGTAAAGGGGCTTTGTCACGGCTGTATGGTTCTTTTAGTTTATATTGCCAATTAAGCTTCCTTATGGGTTATGGGACTTAACATTAGAGAAGAAATTACATTTAAATAGGGACGTTAAGCAGCAGTGACGGCGACGGCTGCGCAAACGTCACTTAAAAAGTGAATTCGCGCTACTTCAAACTTTGTCGCGCTTATTCAAACTCGTTGAGTTCGTCAAATGTTGGCATTTTTTTGGAGTTGAATTCTAAAAGACTGTATCAAAGTTCAGGAAAAGAAAAAGAAAGTCGTTGTCTTGTGTTCACGTCCTCGACAAAGCGTCAAATTAGGTACTTTCACGTTGTAGTCGTGCAGCGACGACAAAGAAGTGTACTAAAAAGCGTGACGCAAGTGCAGAGTTGTTGTTTTGCAAATCTAAACCAATTGCTTTTTTGCCGTTCTCGTTGCCATCGCCGTCGTCGTTGCTGAAGCTGCCTTGACAAAATCACAGCTTTTTGTCCAACACATTTGCCTGTTAAGCATGATATCAAACGTTACAAACAGTAAAAATGAACTTTGCGAAACTGTTAGGCTAACAAGTTGTTAAAAAAACCCACAATTGCAATTTGTTATAATTTTCTTCAAGTTTGTTCATCCTTGCCTTCTTTGGTATTTATTGCCGCGTTCTTTATACTTTCTTGTCATGTTTTAAGCGGTTTTTTCTACGTCAGGGGCACCCAACGAGAATATAGTTCAAAACCACTTAAACATAGCATTGTTAAACGTATTTTAGTATTTAAACGGTAGATATAGCAGATTTTTATTTAGAATTTTTTCTGTTGCAATATTCGAACGGTCTAGTGATCCGAAAATTATAGTTCAGCCTTGTTTCTATTCTGTTGTATAAGCCATCTTTACACGAACTTCAAAAATCCGTTAAAATGGGCAATTATACCATTTTTTAGATGTTCGAAAATCCTAGGAGAGGCAGGCAAGCAAGAAATTTTACAACAAATGTTCCGAAAATTCTAGATCATAAATCGTCTTCCGAACAGATATTTTCCGAATATTGTCGTTGGGTGCCCCTGCTACGTTCCATGCACTCAATTTGGTGGTAGTTCCTACTGTAAGAATTCGATAAATTTCTTTATACAACTCCCACAAAAAGGTTTGTCCAATTTTCGAACGTGTAGCGTTGCCAAATTCAGCCTTGAAATACCATCTTTACTCGAACCAATCAAATTGGAAATTTGCCATGTAGTTATGAGTTATAATTTAGAATAAAAAAGAACATGAGTTTGACGTGTTGTCGAACTTTCTTTTTCTAAATAGGAGTCTCAAAATGGGACAACAGTAAGTTTATTCTGTATCTTTTCTCCACAGTAAGCTAAGGTAAGCTTATAAACGCACACGGGCTTGGGTTGCCTGTGTTTAAATGCAGCTTTAATGCTTTAAGTGAAATCTTCCCGTAAGGTGAAATTGTGCTCGTGTAAAGTTGATCTCTGCTTATGTTTTTCCTTTGTTTCCAGTTTGAAGAGGATTCCATTTATCGTCATTTGGAGCCTGCGCTTGCTTTCCAGTTGGAAATGAACCGCCTAAGAAACTTCGATCTGGAGACAATACCAACCACAAATCACAACATTCATCTGTATCTTGGCTCTGCCAAGAAGGTAAGTTCATTGTAGTTGTTGTTACACGTTCCGTATGGACTCTTCTAAGGCCCTTTTCGCACAATACCGGAAAGCTTTTGCGCCGGCATGAAAAACATACCGGATATGGCTTCTGTTCACGCAAAAGAACGATGATTTTGGCGCGATTTCTCTAACGGAGCGAAGCTGGCCCGCGCGTATCTCGAGAGTGGAGAGTAAGACACCGGATAGCTTTTCGTGGCGGCATGAAAAGCTATCCGGTATAGTTTGAACATAGCCTAAGTAACGATGCTCATGCGCCATGTCGCGCAACGTATATTCCCTCTTCTCTGATTGGGCGTTTTCGCATGCGAGAAATAGACGCCGGATAGCTTTTGTCCGGCATTAAACGCTATTCGAAATGTCTGAACCTCCCCTAGACCAACATTTTGGCCCATTTGAGAGGCCACGTTAATGTTCGCTCTGTTTGGGGTTTAGGTGGGCGAGAAACGTTTAATGATTCGGTTTGTCTTACTTTGATCTTAAAACATTGGCGGACAAATAATGGCCTTTTTTGTGGCAAACCAATTAACTAACTTACCAAAAGACGATAAAAACTTCAACGAATCCGTAATGTGCAATGTAGAAGTATAATATTATTTTTTCCTCGTTTCTTCAGGTTTCGGCACATTCAGAAGTGACTGACTACAGGTTTTTTATCAGAAGCATTGTGCGACATTCGGACTTCATCACCAAGGTGACATTAATTTCCACGATGTCTTTTGGATACCTGTTTATGCCTTCTTTAGGTGGATTATGGGAACTCTAAGCTTGAATGTAAAAACATTTCTGACGATCGAAACATATGAGAACGTATGAAGATGCACGGTCTAGGGCTGCGTGAATTGTCATAGGACGTTTACAGGCTATTTAGATTTTGTTGGCGGCAAATTTTTCTCGTGATACATCGGTGAGTCTACTTTCACTTACTGGCACTTTACTTTTCTTATACCTTTTGTTTTATTTCGGCGTGCTGTGTAGTTTTATATAGTGTTGCATACGTCTGTTAAACCTTTTCCGGCCGTCAGGATGTAGTGCCACGTTAGATTATAAATAAATTTCCACGCTTTTTTCACTGAGTTGGCTTCAATCCCAGGGTGGGTTTGTAGTAGTTTTTCTTTGCCACTCTAAGAACCTTTTAAGTTGTAGTTTTAGGTACAATTAATGTATACATCTACATCAGGTGACTGAATGGCTAATCCTTAATTACTTACTCGCACTGAATAGATGTCTCGTGTCAGTGAAGAGTCAGAGTAAGTACTTACTAACTGCTCTCTTACTTTTTAGGAAGCGTCATTTGAATACATGGAGAAGGAGAGTGAGATCCAGCTGCTGGAATCTCTAGATCAGTTGGAAGTTTGTTTTTCAGAAACCGTAGGTTTCACTTTGCATTGTATTTTTTATTAGTTAAACCTTTTGTTTAGTGAAGATCTTTTAAGCTCAGATTATATATCAGTGGGGCTAAAATGCCTTGAAATTTTCCAGGATTGCCAAGGAAAGCTGTCGCCGTTTATCAGTTCCACGAGTGTATCGGCAGTTTGTCTCCTAATAAACTTTGATATCGATACTGCGATTACTGTTAATTCGATGTTATTCGTTCACAGGCCAAGAGAACAGACTGCAATCACATTTTCCTGAACTTTGGTCCCTGTGTCATCATTGAACCTAACAGGGTAAATAAATGAAGACGATTCAAATGTTTTCAAAACATTCAGTAGAAATGCTACAGAAATGCAACGGTGTTGTTGTTGTTGCTTTTTCCCTTTAGATTGAGGAAAGTATCCGGCATATTGTTACCCGGTATGGAAGACGATTGTGGAAACTGCGTGTCCTTCAAGCTGAAATGAAAGTCACGATCAGGTAATAATAACGCCAGACTGGTTTTGACAGTCAAGAAATTCCTTGCTGCTTGTCTAAAAGGCGTGCTAGGTGCTATTTTGCCTAAAAAAGGCGTTGGATAAACTTGTTAGAGAGAAACTTGCTTTGGGTTGATAGATGCATGCAGAACTTTTTTCAAGAAAGTCATGTTGCATTGTTATCGTACCTCGGGTACCAAAGATCTTTTCCTCGCGTGCGGGTTGATGTCGGCCGTGGGCCGACTATAAAGCCTGTCCGCAACCGGAAACCGCGCATGAAAAGTCTCTGGCACCCAAGGTAGTCGTGCCGAGAGAACAGCGAAAAATCGTAGATTTGCATAGTGAATTTCGAGAATGAAAACCATATCCTCAGCCAAGTTCCCCTCAGTCTACGGCACGACCCTCGTCAACTCTGCGTTGCATGCGGTTGCCTCTTTTAACAATTAAAATAGCTACAGGGAAACTACTTGTGAATCCGTCTTCAAGATAACCTAACATTTCTATGCTAAGAGTCAATAGTAGACCATCTTTACATTGTCCTTCTATACTTATGCAAAAAGCGATCTGTATGGTGTTTCTGTACGAGAGAAATGGTTTGTATCCTCACAGTCTCATGTCTAACGTAACGCTAGCATAATTACGTACATACGCACATTTTTAGTAGACAAGCCTGGCTAACATTAATTCTTTTATTTTATTTGAACGTTCAAGGCTCACTCCCACTGGAAAGAAGATTCCTCTTCGTATGTTTATTTCGAATGAGTCTGGGTACTACCTGGACTTCAATATTTACAGGGAGGTAGTGGACTCAAGAACAGGACAGGTATTAAAATAAAATGAGGCATCCTAATGATGAACAGTTACTGCGTTTATATAATTTTACACGCAACAACTGTTACAATTATTCGCGTTCTGTTCCCTTAGAATTGAAATTCCTGTAAATCGTTTTCATATACCATGAACAGGAACCTTCTTGCATCTAATGTCCCATTCACACCAACGAAACATGTTTAATTAAACCAGGCTCTAAAAGTTAAAAGAAATACAGACACGGCAAACTGAAACACAGGTTTTCACACAGGATTCAAATAAATTCAACATCTTTTGTAATTTGCGCTAAATTTGCAATCAACTTGAGTCAGTAAGCAGCTCATATGAAGGAAACAATTGTAAATTTTGTTAACTAAGCAGCTTGTAAACATGTTTGGGCTATACTGGATAGCTCTTGCGCTGGTACTAACACCGTATTGGTTAGGGCTTCTGTTCACACATGAGAACGGTGATGTCGGCGCGGTTCCTGCAACGGTGCGAATTAGCTACGCCGCGCCGATCCTCAGAGTGGATCGTCACATATCGGGTAGGTTTCTGTGCCACTCTCAAAGTGTTCAAGCTATACCGAATAGCTTTCATTTCGACACGCAAAACTACCCGGTATAGTGTGGACATTGCCTAGCCCCCGTACGGCGTCTCTCGGTCATTGCATTTGGGTGACGAAAACGCGCTCGGACCACGTGACCCGAAACGCATCGGCCGCGCGCAATAATGAGGCCTAGGGACTAGGCAAGTGTAGACACAGCCTTAGTTTGCGTGGCGTTGTCCTATAGCGAGGTCCTTTGTAATTTTTAACAGATGGTGTTCGAGTCCTATGGCCAGAAGCAGGGGCCTCACCATGGACTTCCAGTCAACACGCCATACGTCACAAAAGATCATTTGCAGGTATTCATGTTCAAGGATTGTGTTTAAATACTTTTTTACTGTTGTATGTAACAAAGATAAACTGTTAAATACGGGATATGGAAAATTAAAAATGAGTGGTTTTTGCTAACAAAGCGAAACAAGCTAGGTTTAAAAATCGTTGATTATCGTTCTCGTAAACTCTTTCCTTTTGACAAACATTGAAACACATTCGAAGGATGTTTACAGGATCTTTATCTTTGACTCCCTCGGTTTTTTTGTTTTTGAAGAATTCATCGCAACACCGCGTTGCATTTATTTTTTAAGTTTACAGTAATGGAGGGAACTTAAATGGGTATCTGGTCACCTCGCCATCAAACCATCTCGCCACCAAGGATAGAACTTAGTTTAGCATTGGTTTGAACCTTCATGAACGGAAATTTCTTAACCGTTACTTTATTTTCCTATTTCAAAGAACCTATACATGTATTTTTAGTATTTTCATTATCAACGTTCGACGCAAGGATCGTCAATAAGGATCGACATATTTGTATTTGGGTCGGCTTTAAATTCGAAAAAGCTTGATGAAACAGTAAAAATCTTAGGTAAGTAATCCTAGGTATTAAACTGTGTCAATTATTTCAGAGTTATTCGTTGGTGGTGAGTCGACTTTTTGGTGGCGATTTCGTTGGTGGTGAGATAACCGTAAGCCCTTAAGTGTTGTGTACTAAAAGACTCCGCCTACGATCACGTCGATGCGACAGTTTATTATTATTAGATTTATTCTTATTTTTGGGAGTTAAGATGACCCATCAGGTCCGCATTTAGATTCCTTGCGCGACGCAAAAATTTGAGTCATTTCATTAGTATGATTAATGGTGAATTTTGTCTTTTAGCTAAAACGTTTTGCAGCTCAATCTCTTGGTACTACCTACGTGTACGATTTTCCTGAGCTCTTTAAACAGGTGAGAAGTGGTTTAAAGAAAAACTTTGTTTTGTTAAAAATTGGATAGTTAAGACTGCTACTAAGAAAGAAAGCTGTTTAAGGGATGTTTTACAGGTCAAAATTATATTCAGGTTAAAACTTTTAACCTAGTTTGATTCTCAATTTCCTTTGTCTCCTAATTCAAGAAAAAACGAGGAGTAGGAGACAAAGGAAAATGAGAATCAACCTAAGTTAAAAGTTTTAACCTGAATATACTTTTTACCTGTAACAGATGTTTTAGTGTCGTTCTTCAATTATCTCTTTTCATTCAGTTTTTGTTTTCCTTTTTCCTTCTTACCATATCCAAACAAAGTTCAAATAAGTATACAACTGAACCACAACACTTGTTCGTACTGACTAACGCTACCGTGTACAACACAGTGATAATATTAAAAAAAATAATCGCAGCACTAGCGGCTTGTGATGTACATAGCTAGTTTATTTTTACATAGTATTGCACCTCGATTTGTTACATGGACGTATTCACGTTTCTATTAGGAGGGTTCTTAATGTGTCTCTTGTTGTTTATTTTTATTTTTTATTTTTCAGGCCATTCTGAAGCAATGGAAGCAATGGTGCACCGAACGCAAGGAAAAATTTAATCAGTCCAAAGATGTCGTAAGCTTGATCTTCACTTTTTTGCCACATCACCCTAACCTTGGTTAAACTAAGATGTTTTGTGTATCATGTCGACACGGTCTTGTTAACGTTTCTTTTCACAACCTTTGATCATTGTCTGATTCAGTGTCTGTTGGTATTTACCTTTTACAGTTAGTTTCATAGCTACTTCTTTTTTTTCTACTGTAATTTATGTTACTTTTTTTTCTCCGTTGTTCTTAGTTATTTAGCTGTTAACTTCGTCTCAAGCTTTATTCAAAATATTGTTAATTGTTGTAAACTTGCCCCCTCGTTAGCCTGCGAGCAAGCTCTGCTATTTGGGCAAGCGAAGGGAGCCTCGCGAGAACGCGCTAACCTGCGAGCAAGCTCTGCTATTCGCGGCTTCGTCGCTCCCTCGCGCGTTCTCGCGAGACTCGTTTAACTCGCCCAAATAGGAGAGCTTGCTCGCAGGCTACCCCCTCGTCAAACAGCGTACTGGCAAATTCCTATGGACGAGCATCAAAAACCTTTTTGAAGGCAGAATGTATAAAGATTGTTGGTGTTGATTAAGCGGTCTTGATTGAATGTTATTATGTTTACGAGTTGCTTCTGAAGGCAAGTTTTCGTTTGTTTGTTTTCAATTTCAGATAAAAGTGACAGAGTATGTTTTGGATGAGAACGATCAACTGATGCCAATGAACCGACTGCATGGAGAGAACACTGTAAGTACTGGCAACATCTTCTTCACTTTAGAACAGTAATGTAGGAGCTGCTGGTAAGGTGGTCCCTCATTGGTCGCAGAAAACAATAACACATCACATGAACCCTTTAGAAACGAGAAGGGAAACTGGGCCGACTTAACTGTGGTAATGACTTCTGGGATTGTTACGGAGGACGCGCTGCTCAGCTATTGGTCAATTTTTCCCCTGTCCCCAGTAACCGTCCCAGAAGTCTTTGCGAAAGTTAACTCGGCCCAGTTTCCTTTTAGTTTCTCAAGTGATGAACTCCCTTTTGTCTGAATGAGATACTTTAGTAATAAAATGGCACCCGTCTGTTTACAAAATGGTGCTTTGAGCAACGAGGGGAATGTATAATTGATTTTCCAAGGTGTGTGCAAACGATAGTCTGGGCCAAGTTGTTCGGAAGCCGAAATCCGGGTTTCCTTTTTTTTTATCCATTCTCTTTAGAGCATCCTGTCATTCAATTGTAGACAAAAAGAATTAGACTAAATTTACTTTTATAGCCTTCATTTCTGAGTTTTAATTTCGCACTAATCCTGGGTCATCTTAACCCAGCTTTGAGCAACTCGTCCCTGAGGTTTTTGAACGATTTTCCCCAAGTAATAATAAAAATAGTGAGTTTACCCAACAGGACGGCAGGAAGAAGGGGACGGCAAAACGCTTTTGTGTGACAAACGTGACTTGGCTATTACTGGCGTGTTTTGTCGTGATCTTCATTTAAAATTAATGTTTTCTGGTCTTTACAAAATGATCCGTTTAAAGGAAAATGAAGTTTGGCGAAAAGTTATTTCAGACAAAATTATTGTCATGCTTGTCACACAATGTTGGCCGTCTTCGTTCCTCTCCCGTACTGTTGCGTAAGTTCTCTAATATCAAATCTGAAAACGTCGGGCTTTACGTTGAGTCAATTTCCACCCTATTTGTCGTTTGCCTAAGACACTTAAGCATACAACGCATCTGTTTGCATACAACGTCTCTTTCTGGTTTATTTAGATTGGCATGATAGCGTGGAAAATGGAGTGCGTGACACCAGAATGCCCAAAAGGACGACAGGTAAGCGTGACATCAGTTTTAACTTGGACAAACACCATATGTTACATTCAAGTGCAAAATATCCAATCTGTTTAGTTTTGTTATCTCTTGTTTCTTTCCCTATCTTTCTGTACCGATAGTGGGAGAGGAAGTCGGACTTCGTCTCCCTTTTCTCCTTCGCTTTTTTCTCCCTCCCCCCCCTTCCCCTTTTTTGAGCCTGACACGCACGCTAGATTGACGTCGTTTGTTTTCCTTCGCTTCTTTAGATCATTGTGGTAGCTAATGACATCACTGTTATGATTGGCTCATTTGCACCACAAGAAGATATGCTGTTCAAGGTACTCTTTGTATATGTTTGATCTTTTATGCTAACACCCACGCGAGGTGACTTAGATCAAATGCCACTTGACAAATGTGCCTCTCGCTTGATCGGTTACATGTATGTACTTTATTCACAGACTTGCAGCATTACAAATTCTTGCTTAGTCGGAGACTTTTGGAAACCATTTGTTGGCTGTCTACGTTCGCGAAGACTCTAAAAGCAAACAGGGTCATGATGAGCGCGACTCATCTTAAAAACAGCGTTCTTTTAGGTCCCTATTTGAGTGTTCCTATTTTCAGCCTACTCCTCGCATTTTGCTTCGGTGAGCACACCCAATGATACAAGGTCAAGTCTTGGGTGGATAGTTTTATTCACAAGAGTGTGGGAGCGGTCTAACTACAATCCTGGACAAACGTCCTTGGGACAGTACTGCGAGTACTTTTTTGTGTCGCTTTTACTCCTGAAGAAGGACACAATACTCTTTCACAAGGATGGGCAAAGAAAGAGTCAAGTTTTCTAAGATACTCATCTCACTGACGCGATGCATTATTTGTTTCAACACGTCGATTTTACGATCGTTGTTATTTCAGAGAGCTTCAGAACTGGCGAGATCTCAAGGTCTTCCATTTCTGTACCTCTCAGCCAACAGTGGAGCTCGTATTGGTCTCGCTGAGGAGGTGAAGCATCACTTCAAAGTGGCCTGGAATGATCCTCTTGCTCCAGAGAAGGTCCGATAAGTAGTATTTCACTGATTTTTTATGGTTAAAAATTAATGCTTTATGCCACAACACAAAAATGGAAACGAAAGTAGTGTCAGTATATTTGCTGGGAAGTGCTTATTTGGACCCTGTAACAGGGATACAGCCACATACACGTCACAACTTCTGGGCAGCTGGCCAAGTTGTTAGTTATCAACTTCGTGGTCGCGAATTTGGACGTGGGTCTGTCCGCAACTTCGTTGCAAATGCATATACTGGTCAGAGAGGGCCTCTGGTTGGTACGTGCAAGTCGACCGACCTGAGAACTGCACAACTGTTCCCCTGATACCCCAGTAATACACCGGTAGTACAAAGTGTTTTTTTAAATATGAAGCTGAGTTATAAGCCCTTCACATTCGTAGTATTTAAAGGCATTGTGAACCCTGACTAGGTCTCTTGTCTTTTTGGACCTGGCAGATGTGTAATTCAACAAATTATTAGCAATCATAAGCTAAACATGAATGGTGTATTTCAGTGAAACGCTGTAAATGATTTCTATAGAACATCAGCTCCTGAGACGATTCTGTGAGTGAATCGGTTTTAATGTTCTTTTAACATTTGTTATTATAGGGTTTCAAGTATCTGTACGTCACTCCCAGTGACTTCAAAAAGGTGAGAGTGATTCTTAAGATCTTTCTAGCAGTCGGTATCAGCCACTGAAACTATTGCGCGCCCATCTTCAGGCAATCAGCCTTTTTCCGCTGCAGTGCTTGCCGTGTTGCTTCATTTGTGTCCTGTTTCTTCCAGTTAAGTGCCTCTAACTCCATGCACGCAGAATTGATTGAAGACGACGGCGAGTCAAGATACAAAGTCACCGATATCATTGGTGAGTGAATTGTAACCTTACATTCCCCTTGTGTTTCTTGCAGTTTTGTACACAGGGTTGTCATTGTGTTTCTGGCCCCCGGCAGTTTTGGAAAATAGAAGAAAAATAGGACCAAAAGAAATTCCTAGCCGTTTGATTCCCCGCCTACTTGTTGTATTTACCCGGCAACTTGAAATCTTAGTGACAACCCTGGTACATGATTTAAAATTTTCCCTTGTACTTCTGATAGTTAAGTTTTAACAAGATAAAAGTTGTGCTTGTTCTCTCATTTGGTGCGTAATGCTTGTTCTTCAAGGTCGAGATGATGGTATTGGAGTGGAAAATCTGAAAGGTTCTGGAATGATTGCAGGAGAAATGTCTGCAGCTTATGATGACATTGTCACAATTAGTCTTGTTAGTAACCTGTACATTTTTTTAAATTCAATATAACTCTTGTCACTTTGAACACAGTTTAATCAGAACAGGTCAACTGTAATTCTCAACAGCTTTTGTACTTTTCTTTTGTACTTTTCACGCTCTTTGTTATCTTTGTAAAAGCTAAAACGTGTTTCCCCATCAATTGAATTCGAAAAATAATGTTCCACTTTTGTCTGTTGCCACGGAAGACAAAGATGGACGTGGATTAAAGCTTGAAAAAAATCGCCAAAAAAATTCATACCTTCTTCCTAACTCTGCAGGAGCATTTTGTATTTGTGTAAAGGCATTAAGCAATGACTTCAGCACAGAATTGATCTAAATGTCACGCAATATCTTCGTGACATAGTCCCTTTAAGCATTGAAACCATTAGCTCTAGCAGATTCTAAGGCCGTTCTTAGGCTTTAAGAACATTTCTTGCCGTTTAGTAGGTAACTTCTCATCTGGGAGTTATCAGTGAAAACTTAAATTGAGAAATTATTCTTTGGTTTGTCATTACAGGTGACGTGTCGAGCAGTGGGTATTGGTTCGTATCTGGTTCGTTTGGGTCAGAGAGTTATCCAAGTTGAGAATGCGCATTTGATTCTTACTGGAGCAGGGGCTCTCAACAAGGTGAATGAACTTAACATCGTGTTGTTTTGCTTGTAGATGGTAGAAGTGTTGATACGTTTAGTCTTAAACTGTGTGGATGTTGTCCTACTTTAAGTATCGCTTCGATTTGGAAGTTAATATAGATGACGTAATAAGGGCCCCAGAAAAGTCAGGTCATGGTAGGGCTGGCCATAAATGTGTCGATATGCGTTGGTATAAGTGGTGTAGTAACCAGCGATGACCCTGCGACCTTCGAAAGGAACCGTACCACCTTCCTTAAACTCTCACGAACCCTTGTTCATTCCCTTCGAACCCCTTTGATTTAGGAGTAATACACTATCGAGAAAATAGCTTACCACAAGTAGCTCTTGTCAACCCGAGAATATTGCAGTTAAGCTATGATATAGCCACGACTATTTCTCGCAAGCTTGTAAAATTTTTGCCGGTTAAAGTAAGCGGATTATAAGCCTAATTATTGCGCGTCTTTTTGAGCTTAGGTTCTTGGTCGACAAGTGTACACATCAAATCTTCAGCTTGGAGGACCGCAGATTATGCACAATAATGGTACGATGAAGATAGGGAACTAAACAAAGAACAACTAGCCTTTTCTAGGCGTTCAGATAGTGGAGTGCGGCGCGAAGTAAGAAAGCGCGGGAATATAAGAAGGAGAGAGGGAGAGGGGATCTCACCCCCTACCCCACCCCCCTCGCTGCTTTTTTCTGCTCACAACTAGCCTTTTCCAGGCGTTCAGATAGTGGAGTGCGGCGCGAAGTAAGAAAGCGCGGGAATATAAGAAGGAGAGAGGGAGAGGGGATCTCACCCCCTACCCCACCCCCCTCGCTGCTTTTTTCTGCTCACAACTAGCCTTTTCCAGGCGTTCAGATAGTGGAGTGCGGCGCGAAGTAAGAAAGCGCGGGAATATAAGAAGGAGAGAGGGAGAGGGGATCTCACCCCTACCCCACCCCCCGCTGCTTTTTTTCTGCTCACAACTAGCCTTTTCCAGGCGTTCAGATAGTGGAGTGCGGCGCGAAGTAAGAAAGCGCGGGAATATAAGAAGGAGAGAGGGAGAGGGGATCTCACCCCCTACCCCACCCCCCTCGCTGCTTTTTTCTGCTCACAACTAGCCTTTTCCAGGCGTCCAGATAGTGGAGTGCGGCGCGAAGTAAGAAAGTGCGGGAAAATAAGAAGGGAGAGAGGGTGAGGGGCTCTCACCCCCTACCCCACCCCCTCGCTGTTTTTTTCTCTTCACATCTCTTCGCGACGTCCCCACGTTGGAACGCCTTGAACAGGCTAACAAGGATCATTTTGCACTCTGAATGTTGCAAAGTCAAAACCAGTCATAGCAGTATGCAGTATATGTTCACGTGAACTTATTTTAATGGCGTCAGTTCCCATGGGGGTCCCATAGGTCAGCGGTGGAGCAATCTAGACCAGTAACCAGAAGGTCACAGGTTTGTCTCCTGCAGGGTGAAGTCGGATGTTCTTTCCGAGTCGTCCTTCTTACTAACTGAAAAAGTATCTCGAAACCGAACTATTTACTAATTCCTATTAGTATTACGATAGACAAAACGTCCCAATGCGTTGACTAACCAAACGTGACGTTTACTTGGCAAAGTAAGATCCATTAACTGAAACAACAAAAGTAAATATCAAAAATTAAAGGTTTTTCCCAATATTCGTGGCAGCTGAGGTTAAAAACTTTAATGCTGGTAATTATTCTAGGAGTGACGCACATGGTAGTCCCGGATGATTTCGGAGGAATTTGCGCAATCATGCAGTGGCTGTCGTACGTTCCAAAGGTAAGAACTATGAGGTCTGAGAAGTGATGTAACGCATCTATTCCAAGTCTTCCACCAAGAAAACAGCAGTAGGTGTAAGTTAGCCACGAAAATGACGCACAGCGGTATAGAATGTGTTTTGAGGTAATCTGATTTACGGGAGGTTTACGTAACAGATGCAGATACGTGCCAAATTGTTGTTCATCGCGGTTTACTGCCAATAGGAAACAGGCTACAACGATTTTGTTCATAGTTCCCCGAGATAAGTGCGGCACAACCTGTAAGACCTGTGAAGACTATAAGACTGTGAGGCTCACCTTAAACAAACATGAAGTAAGCGTCAAAGCAAACTTGCTAAAAGTGTCAAATCACCTTTAAAAACTAAAGAATGTGTTAATGTCATCTCACAAACTTGAATTCTTTGTTTATAGTTGGATAATATGCTTATAATTCGTGCTTCTATCACTTTTGCAGTGCAGAAACGGTCCTCTGCCAATCATTGAATCCAGTGATCCTGTTGACCGGGAAGTGGACTTTGTTCCTCCAAAAGCGCCGCACGATCCCCGACATTTCATCTGCGGGACCCTACATCCTGGTAAGAACTTCTAATTAGATTTTCATCATTATAGCTTGAGTTATGACTCCACAACAGTTGATTCATTGTGTAATGCTAAGATTGTCATGGACTGAGTTTTTTTTTTCCTTGCAGAAAACAAAGGTGTGTGGCTGAACGGCTTTTTCGACCGCGGTTCTTTTGTTGAGACATTGGATGGGTGGGCGAAGACAGTTGTGTGTGGACGAGCAAGGTAGGGACCGGTTTAGTGAAACTTTACAAAAAGAAAAAGAGTCAGACCTCGATAAAGTTAAATGAGAATAGAATTCCTTCTTAGTCGCTTTTTCTACTTCTAACTCAGGAGTTTTCGAACCGATAGTACACCTCTTGTGTTTTACGTATTTTTTTTTTCATATGTTTGCTTGTTTCTTGTTATCTAAGACTAGGTGGTATTCCAATGGGAGTGATTGCTGTGGAAACCAGAGCGGTTGAAGTTGTTATTCCTGCTGATCCGGGAAACCCTGAGTCTGATACCAAGGTAGGAAATTATGATTTCTTCGTATTATTCCTAAAAAGACCACTTGTTGTTGGTAAATTGACGCTCGTTAACTTGCTTTGCGTTTGTTGTAGATAATCACGCAGGCAGGTCAAGTATGGTACCCAGACTCCGCTTTTAAAACGGCTCAAGCCATCAATGATTTCAACAAAGAGCAGCTGCCACTGATGATCTTTGCAAACTGGAGAGGTTTTTCGGGAGGTGAGAAGAATTCGTTACTGAACATGGATACTGTGCTAACAATTAAGTAGTGAGTGGGATACACAATAGAAAATTCCTAAGTCTGCGCGTGGAAGCTAAGAATCGGCGGTTTAACTTATCCCCAGTCTTTTAGCCACTCAGAGCTTTAAAGCAATTGTGGCCAGAGATTTCTTCGACGTCTTTTTCCCATCAAGATCAATTAATAGACCACGCCAGATTGGAGATATAATATTCTGTAATTTAATACTGATTTTATAACGTACAAAGGGCATACATAGCCTATCATTGTAGATCGTGTTAAGCGCATAATAAATCGCTTCAGACAATTCTAAAGTAACAATGGTGGGTCTCGTCTTTTACTCTCACTTCTGACTGAACTTTTAACGCTGATTGTTTGTGCAAAATGTTGAACTCTTAACCTTTCGTCCCATTGGCTCGAATTTAGCATTAACTTTACTGGGGGCCGAAATATCTTTGTAATTCCGCCCATGAGTAAAAGGAGGTCGCAAAGTAACTCAATAATTACGAAAATTAATAACTTTTGTTCCACCATCAGGAATGAAAGACATGTACGAAAGCGTTTTGAAGTATGGCGCGTACATTGTTGATGCTTTGAGAGAATATGAACAGCCTGTGTTCATTTACATTCTCCCAAATGGAGAGCTAAGAGGAGGGGCCTGGGTTGTAGTGGACCCGACTATCAATCCTGATGCCATGGAGATGTACGCTGACCAGGAGAGTAGGTAAGGACAAGCGTCTCATTTCTCGACGGCTCGACCTGTATTACCCGCTCAGCCTCTTCGTCTAATGGTCTCTTAAATGTACTCAGCAAAACTGACAAAATGCTTGACGACGAACTAGCCTCTATACAGATCTTGTGATAGGGGTGCCGCTGTACACGGATTACACCAAAAAATAATTGTTTAGGCCACTAGTAGAACAGAAGACGAACCCAAAGGTTTGAGTTGTAATCTCACTACATCTGGTGTTTATTTCTTAGGGGTGGAGTCCTTGAACCTGCTGGTACAGTGGAAATCAAGTTCCGTCGCAAGGATTTGGTGAAAGCCATGCACAGACTGGATAGCAAGTGCCAGGAAATTGCAAAGGCTCTCGCGTCGTCAGGTATTAAACGAACATGTTGGTTTTGATAATGACGTCAACAACTTTTGTCTTGTTGCTCATTTGTTTAAGTCTCTTAGTAAAACGCTTCTTCCCAAAGAAAGTCAGATTCTTAGTCTTAGGTTGTTTTACATTTATCTTAATCATCAATCAAGATAGAATTAGCGCCTTTTGGTTTCCTTAAACCAATTGAATGTAGTCGCATTTAACTTTCCCTTGAACGTTTCCCCAAAGCTCTTGAGGAGAGGAACCATTTTCCTTGCTCTCATAACTCTGTGGATGTCAACTTTTACCTTTTAGGGCCTCGTTTAATCTGTCCTTTATTTGACCTATGAATTGTCTTTTGTTTTAGAACTGCCTGTAAAAGAACGCAAAACTCTAGAAAGACAGCAGAAGGAACGAGAGGAGCTACTTTCGCCCATTTATCAACAGGTAATTCAACGTTTTCTGTACCTTTCAGGGCTCTGAATGGTAGGATTTTGTCCTGTTTGCAGAAATAAATCGGTTTTTTACAGGTGGGCCAGGCAATCACGTAGGATGCGTGTGTGCGGTGTTCCGTTTGTTTGCTGCCCTTTTAGCTAGTTTTTGTTTTTTGTTTTCTCTACAAGTGTTTTTTGTTTGTTTTTTTTTTGTACCACAATTTCTACCTCCATCTGATGTAAAAGAAGTCTTATTTTGCTTTTTTTTACATATTTATACATTCGAAGCCTTTTTGTTAATAAATATCGGTTTCCAGAACTCTTTAAAAATTGCACGCGGATTGTACATAGCAATTGGTTTTTCTCTGTAAGAATTTTAAACGTTGGCAAATGTTTCTTTTTTCCAGGTGTCGGTAGAGTTTGCAGACCTCCATGATACCCCAGGACGTATGCAGGAGAAAGGAGTTATTTCTGTGAGTATCTGCCGTTACAAGTTTTCGTCAGTTTTCTTTTAATAACAACTGAAACCCGTGTGAGTTTTATGCTGAGGGGTACCTCGTACGTTTCTTGATTGTATCGTTTTTAGGAGGTACTCAAATGGAAAGAGTCGCGTCAGTTCTTTTATTGGCGTTTAAGGCGGATCTTAATGACGAGAGATGCAAAGAACAAGATCAGGGAAGCTAACCCGTAAGAATACTTTCATTGATACCCTGCTAAGATTTCTTTAGTAGATGTTTATAGTATGTGTTATGATCATCGTCATTGTGAATACACGAGGAAGTTATTTTCCATGGTTTCTGTTACCGGAGTAAATAGTAAGCTCTTGTCCCATCCCGAATAGCGGGGAATTCTTGGTTCACAACCATGTGACAAGGCAGCCATATTGGTGTCAATACAAGAGAATTTTTTCTCGAAGAATTTACCTGACTATAGAGTTAATTTCCCAGAAGAGAGAAATACTTTTGTTCTTCCTCACCAACATAGCCGTCATGACGTCACTTGCAAACCAGTAACAAGTTATCTACTTCTCCCTTCGAGTTTTGCGTCAGCATTGCTCTGTGCGACAGAAATACCTATTAGAAGGGCTTATCAGGGTGTTCTTAGTCTGCAGACTATCGTGTAAAGTAGTATAGGGCGGGTGTTTTATTCTGGTTTCTTTCCTATGAGACTTCTTGGTTTAGGAGGAAAAATTGACGCCAACGTTGTCGTGGCCCAACACCTGTTGATGTGCTTCCAGGTATTTTATCCACAGGACAGAGGCAATAGCCATAACGTCATCACTTTCAATGTTTACCTCCCTAAACTGATGGGAATCCTTGGTTGTAAAGAACGGGAGATAAGCATACGGTGTATACTACTTAAAGGATTTTGATCACATATGAGGGTAGAATCACCATGGTACAACTTCTTGTTGAGTTGGTGTGTTCTCAATTCAGATTGACTATTATCGCCAAGGTAACACTAACTAAACTGTTTCTTGTGTTCCAGAGATATTTCAAGTGCTCAGCTGTGTTCTATGCTGGAAAGACTGTTCTTGGAAGGACATGGAAACACCAAGGTATTTTAAATAGGATAATACGCTGTATCGGAATAAACGGGGAAGATTGTGATGGCTTGGCAAAGCTTGCCATAGTATTTCTGGCTATTTATTTTGCAGAGTTTAAAGTTAATACGTTAGCTGTTGATGCGCACAATAAAACAAGGGGATATAGAGAAGCTTTTACAGGCTGGGCTTACTATTGTGCAAGGGGGTGTTAGGTTTTGATAAACGAATTAGGTGTTCAAACTGATTTCTGTCTCTTCTGTCGAAGTCCTACCTGTGGAACGACAACAAGGCGGTCGTGGAGTGGCTGGAGAAAGAGTTGAAAGAAGAACACTCTGTTATTGACGAGAATGTGAAGTGGATCAGGAGAGACTGGGTCCTTAGACAGGTTAAAACGTAAGTGTCACAGACAAAGTGGAGACTATATGTGAAGGCCCCATAGCTACTTCTTGTACTGGGAAAACGCCTCCTAGGTGGACAATACTAATAGTCCGTACTTTGTACTCCCATGTTGAGTGTGAAAATATGTACTTCAATAAGCAAACGCGGGGATGTATTAGATGAATAAAGTGGCCTTACTTGTCTCCTGTTGAAGGCTTGTAATAAATGGACACTTTTGGTTATAGACTCCGACCGATGATGGTAATTTCATTGTCCTTTGGACTATTTATTTCGTCTATTCATTGAATTAAGCGAAATTTGAAAATCATGTGATGATCATGATGAGAATTTTATCCTTACGCGAATGAAAAGAAAACACCTTTGTTATGAGAAATATATTTGTTTTATTTAACAGTACGTGGACACACACCATTGGGATCAATCTTTAAGTGTCTACGTAGAGTTGTTCAGATAAGCGAGGTTGTTGTATTCGTCTGTCATTGAAACCATGAAAAAGTGTCCGCTTACGGCAGTGTCCGTTAGCAGAGGTTCCTCTAGGACCTTTCTCGTAGTAAAATATAGCTGGGCTGAGCCGTCTTTTATTCAAGAATGTAACTGTGTTGCACTTTGCCTACTTCTTAAAAGGCTTAGTTTTATTCCAGCTATAGTTAGTTATACTTTACTCACTGTGTTAGACTTATTGGATCAGTAGCTAAGAGGTTGTTACCGTTTCATCCAATGCAGACTTGTCCAGGAAAATCCTGAGGTTGCCATGGACTCTATTGTGCATATCACCCAGCAAATGACTGCTGCAAAACGGGCCCAAGTCTCCAAGATTCTGGCTGCAATGGATTCTGGTAATGCCGTAGAGAACTCTAATGGTGACTCTGCGAGTTAAAGTGAATGCTGGAATGAGGAGAGCTAGTGTTTGTCTCAGCATGTAAATCTCATCACGGGGGGATATTGATCTGCGACAGTAATTGATGTGCAACGCCGGAATACAATGATCAGTGAAAACGCCCTCGTGGAAGACACGAGAACCGTTAGCTTACACTGGAGACAGTAAAAAAAAGAATCCTATTAATTACTTTAAATGCACTAAGTCGAGTCGCCATATCACTGATATGTACGACAGAAGTCATCGGACGTCTTTCACCAACGTCATAGATTTTCATCTCCCGTCAAACTAAGTTTGTAGGCGGCCCTATGTACGTGTGACGTTTATCGTTTTGATTGGGTAAATCGGGGAAGGATTTCGCTAAACAAAGGGAAATATTTATGGGTAACGAACAGCGATTTTGTTAAAAACATTAACTAAAAAATGCATCTTCATGTCTTTATTCCCTTTCTCCATTTTTGATGTGGGTAACGTTTTTTGCATGCTTTGAAGTGGGACCGTCTCTGGAAAGTCCGCGGTGCCTTTATGGGCCCAAAGGGAAATTTTCGCAGCAGAACATAAACGTTAGAGTTGGGGTCCGAGCTCCCATTCCTTCCCACTTTCTATTATTAACAGAGAGTTTTATTCTATTACTTAGAGCCTCGATCTTAAATGTCAACATGGCAAATACAGAACAGGGGACTTTCGGGGGACGCCCCCCAATTCTCCCGTCCCCCCTAGGGGAGGGATATTAAGGAATTCCTTTGACACAGTCATTTCGTATTTAAGGTATAATGGGAGGGTTTATAAAAAAAGTGAACAAAGGCAACTCGTCTAGATAAATGAAGGGATATTGACAACATTTCATTGGAATGATACCGGGCATAAACGTAAATGAAAACAATTTTTTTCCAGACATCGGTTGAAATAGCTATTCAAAAATATCTGTCATAACCACATTTCGTAGGTACTATATTTTTTACTTTTTTTCTGTTTGTACATGGTACTGACAGTCATAAATGTTCGCTACTTTTTCGAAAAATAACGTCAATGAACACTGTCGTTTTTATTTAATTGTTAATCTTTTAAACAATTTTCTACTTTGCCACATAACCCTACCTAAATAATTCATGTATTGACAAATTATGTTGTACTAAAAAGCAGAATGTAATATTTGAATAAATAAAAATATTCGAGTTGAGTTGTGAGTATTGCTTATTGGTGTAACTAGTCTGAGTGTCCTTTGCCTTGTGTCTTATCTTTTTTTTTAATTTGTTGGTCATTTGGAGGTATGTGCAGGGGTGTCAAACATCTACAACATTGTTCATGCAGGCGTTATTTTTTTCCGCGCCTCACGACGTTCCTTGCCCGCTTCACGATTGCTTTTGCTAGCCTTAAAAACGCGAAAAATGAACGGCGGTTCTGCAGGGTATTCATTCTTTCCTCATCCCGGTAAGCTGCTAGGCATTTCCTCTCAACGGTTACTTGTCGTTTCGCTACAAGTTGTTTCGCGCCATATCAAAGTTGTTCCGCGGAAGAGTCTTCTCGTTTCAATTAAAAAAAAGGGTTTCAGCCATGTTGTTAACTATACATAATATATAGGCTGAAGTTTGTATTCATTGCGTTGTGTACTCCATTCCTGTGTTCTTCCCTTCTTATCGATACTCATTCTTGGGCTGGGGTCAATTTTATAAAACTTTTACAAGTAAACAAAGGCTACACTTGTAAAAGTTTTATTAAATTGATTCAACTAAGCTTCACGGCGGAGAAGCTTTACGAGTAAGTAGAACGAACAATTGACCAAGTGTATACAGTACGTCTTTGAAGTGACTCAACTCTTATTAGAGCCTTTGATGCAGTGAAACAAAAAATGCTTTGCAGCGAAACGACCGGACACTCTCCCGATTTTGACGGATGCTTTCTGCCGCCTGATCTTGTTCACTTCTCTTTTTATTATGAGCTAAGAGCGTTTCAAAAGACATCAGTTAAGTCGTCATTCCTAGATAATGGACGAGGTTTTCTGTCCGCAATAACAGGAAACACCAAAATGGTTTTCAGGGCTATGTCAATGACGTGATAGTCTTGTGTCTGTCTCATAATTAACTTGCCTAGGACTCTTTAATGACTGACGTAGTAAAATGTATTGCGAGCTTTCTAAAATTATGGTCTCGGTCTGTGTGGAAATATTCCATTGAATTGACAGTCGACTCCCAGTAACGCGGATTTAGCGGAGCTCTCGGCGCGAGAAGCGCGCGCAGCGGAGCATCATGAGTGAGAAAATTAGGTTCCCCACGCATCCAAGAAATTTTGGTTCTGAGAAAATCTCCCGTACCTACGTCCACCCCTTCATGTAAGCCGGGGTGAAATTTTGCATTTCAAGCACTCGCTCGTTTTGACGGTAAATCGCACAGCCTCCCGGACTTTTAGAGATAAAAAACAACAAAAAAGCTAATTCTTTTTTTCGACTTAATTTTGATGTCTACATTGACGTGGATAACCGGGGAAGAGCTAAAGACAGAGAGAAAGAGGGGTAAAAAACAAAAGAGATCAATTTTGTTGGAAGTAAAACATGAAAATTTCATAGCGGCGGTAAGAATATGAGAAATACTAGCGGCCACCAAGGTGAAAATGAGCGGCAGTGAAAAAAAAAGTGAACAATAACAAATACAACATTTCCTCCATAAAACGTGTAACTTGGAAGTGTCTGGAAGTTTCAGGATATAGTCGTGCAAAACAACGGCAAAGAAATGTACATAAAAAGTGTGCTGCAGGTGCAAAGTGGTTTCTTTTTTTTTTTGCTAATTAGACCTACTGATTGTTTTGGCTGTAATTGTTGCCGTCGCCGCTTAGCATTACACGATTTTATATTTTGTTTGAGTAAATTATAGATATCAACGAGAGCTTCGCTTTTAGCCCTGGCTAAATCTATATATTATAATAATAACTCGAACCTCGCCCTAACTTGAAGAAACTTTCGTTTCTTTTCAGATCCTTTTCTATAAGTGTACAAGTCAAAACAAAAAGTGTACTGCAGTCCAAAACAGCCGTGTAATCTTTACAAACTTTCCCCGATAATAGTCGGGTTATTCATCGCCGAAGTGCATAATAGCTCCACTCTAATGAGCGCAACTCGTAAGCTACTGTAAACAGTAAATCACTTGACGAAGCAGGTATTTAATCATAAATGTTACAAGAAAAATAACGCACACCACTCTTCTGCCACAGTTTTGTTATTCGTTTTGTTAAGATGAGCTCCATATCAGCTAACTAAAACCGTTCTTGTTTAATAGCCCGAAAAGGAGGGCATTTCCTGGTATTTTTATTGGATTGGAAATTGTTCCTTCTCTTTTCAAACTTTTTTGTTGCGTCATTAGATACAATAATGAGCAACAGCACGAAACTACTATTGGCACACCGAAGCCAATCATGGATTTATGACGTCATAACACAAGTCTTGTGTTTTTTTATTCCTTAGTTGCGTCATTAGATACGATAACGAGCAACAGCACGAAACTACTATTGGCACACCGAAAGCCAATCATGGATTTATGACGTCATAACACAAGTCTTGTGTTTTTTTATTCCTTAGTTGCAATGATTGCGTAGCATCTTGGAGACTTGACAGGATCAAATAACCTGACAATAGACGCTGACTTGAAACCCTGATGAGAAAGAGATTTCAAGAGACGATAAGTAAAACCCAAGAAAACGTAAAACTATGTCAACCATAGTCAGGAGCCATAAGCGATTATAGCTCCTGCTACATGTATAATGTTATTATTCTAACAGAAAAATAAACGCACAATAAAGGCAAACAAACGAAATATGAATGAAGCGAGATAATTTCAAAATTTGTGTTCACAAAAAAACGCAACAAAATCTCACAAAAAAAGACGTTATGTCATGACATAAACAAATACAGAGAATCCAGATGACGGTGTAAAAAAGTACCTTTTCATGTAAGTAGCACAACCTGTCCAGGAGAAACACACTCTCAATACATGGGGCAATCGCCGCCCTCAGCTGTCAAACAGAAAAGATGGGAAATTTACGCAACACTCCACCACTTAAGCCTGACAAAAAAGCCGACAATTCGTGACACCGCCACTGGTTTCCCCGCGAAATGGCTTCTGAGAAACAAGCACAGAAATTCCATACTGATAACGCGTCACTACCCGGTTCTGGATAGTGCTTCTGATTGGTCGTGCTGCATGAGAAATTTACTTCAACCAATCAGAAGCACTACCAAGATCTGGGTAGTAACACGTCATCAGTATGCAATTTCTGCGCTCGTGATGGCGTCGTGAAAGGTTGGCTGTTTTCTCAGGCTACTCCACCACAAGTTCATAGGATGTCTTAAAAACTAGATGAAGAGATGCCATCAAGAGGAAAAGGTTCCTGGAATATTATGTTTCATCTCGATTAAAACAGGCCAGCTACTGGTAACAAATGTAATAAAAATCACTATTTGATATCCAAATACTAGTAAGCTGTACTAGTTGTTCACCCCATGTAAAGGAACCCAGGACAGGCTTGGATTTTGGATTCTGTGCTGTGGATTCCACATTCCAGTCTTATTCAGTGGTACTTGGAAGACGGATTCTAATCATTAGTGGGATTCCAGATTCCAAAGCCCTGGATTCCAAATTCAACAAGAAAAAATTTCCCAGATTCCGGATTCCACAAGCAACTCTGGAATCCAGATTTCCATACATGGGCGGGGCCAATTTGTAGTGGCCAAATTCTTTTGTCGTAGAGTACACATCCAAGGTACAACTGTTGCTTGTCACAAACTGGTTAGTTTAGTTGCTGGCCTATGAACAGACTCCCTTTTTCAAATGAGAAACTCATGCTAGTCTAACAGTTAATAAAACATCAAGAGAACTAACCTGGTGAAAAGCATGCAGCTGGTTTTCATGACTTTTAAATCTTTCATGATATAGTTCTACTTCTTCGTCTGACAACTATAAATTCAGACAAAGAGAGTTAAACAGTGCTCAACACCAGTAATATGTACTGTCTGTTACTGTATGTGACAATTATTTTTAATTTTCAACAGAGTTACGATCAAAAGTGACCAAATTAATGTATGGCGCATAATCATCACTAGAAGACATTAATCACAATGGCAAAACATTTAGATATAGGTGACAAACAAACAATCTAAAAGGTAGTTCAAACCTCACAAATGCGGTCCTGCAAACCAAGCTTGTTCAAGCATTTATGTACATACTCCTTAAAGGTTTTGCATTTTGAGCCAGCTTTACCAACATGCAGTCCCCTGAAAATAGTTTTATCATAGAAGGAAAGTTATTCTAATAATGAAGATGATGACGACAATAAAAATGATAACAACAATGATACTACTTATAATGATAATAACACGATCAGTGCTTGTTTTCATGTGTCAAACAGTTCTGTTAACTGTTTAATCTAGTATACATGTACTCTAGCTTTTCAACAAAAGTGTTTAAGTACAATATGAAGCTTACAAACCTGCCATCCAAGCCAAACTTTTCCTTTAAAATAACCTTTAAAGATCAAATGGAACCCTAATGAACTTTTACGTTATCAGGTACAGTGTACATGTTATGGCCCAATTTTTTTTTCTGGTTTTTAAAAAGTTACATTTTCCTCTGATAAATTAACACTAAGGATGATTTGTATGACTTCATACATCATGCACTTTTAAGCAACGGCTGGCGGAAAAATTATTAATATATGCTTACTGTATTAAGGTAGTTTAACCAATTTTTTTTCTGCATACAGTAAGCAGACACTAATTGAAACCAGAGAGCATTCATTTAAGAGTATGGGTGTCAACTGTCTGCTTCAGGGGAGGTAGGACCAAGAAAACAGTAAATATCTCAAAGTGATTCACGTTTTAACACAAATTAAAAAAACAAATTAGTGTCGACTTTATTCACCTGTAAGATTGCTCTGAACAGAACACTAGGAGGAGGAACCTAAAGATCAGAAAATGAAACAAAATGTGTATATGAAAATCCTGACACTAAATCTGCATGAGAGAAATGCAACCATCACAGACATAGTGTCTAGGTATATACCCTGTTTAAAACACTTGGATGCCTTATTCTGTGACCTTGATTCATTTTGCTTTGCATACAGAAAAAGTTCTTTTTTTCAAAATGAAAATGGAATTAATTTTTTTTTTCTGTAAAAAAATAATACTTGGCACCACAAATAAATACAGATCATGACCTCTTTACACTGCCTTCCAGTCCAAAAAGACACCCTGTTCAAGATGCTAAATGATGCAACTGAATACTTTGTTGTAAGACTCAAGATCCTAAACTCCATACCCTGATCAGCATGTCAGATAAAGAGATGCCTCGCCCACCCCACCCCAATCTGGCTTAGGACCTTCAAACACTGTATGGGTGGACACTCTGTGGATGGAGAGCAAGGCTCATAAATGTGTAAATTCAATACGCAATATTGTGTTAAAAATATTGTACATGTAATTATTTTCTTCTCTTTGATCATGACTTACTTCATTCACTCTAACTCAGACAATAGCTTTTGACACAAATTAAGCGAGTACAAGAGACACTTTTGCTTGAAAGTTAAACCACAGTGTTAATTTAATTTTTTAAAAAATGTACCTTTGATTCAGAAGAAATTCTATCTGCTGCCTGAAAGACAAACAATGGCCTGCTTAAGACTGCTCACTGTATTAAACAAACAAGTCTTGTATGAACAAAAGAAATGACTTTAAAAAATTGGAAAAGTAGAAAAAGAAATATTTTAATAGTTTATTCAAATATTCATTATTAAAAGTTCTCTTGCTGTATATCTCGTTCACCTAATGATAAATTATTATTTTATAAAGTAAACCTATTTAATAATTATTTCTCATTTAAATTCAGTACATTTTGAAGTGTAGTTGATTATCAGCTAATGATACTAACATTGTTGTGTAACTGTCACATACAAACAATCAATTAAGACAAATTTCCTTACTGGTAAAAAGTACCTAGCCCTTTCTTAAATTGTTTTTCCATAAAAGGCCTACATTTATACCAACAGGGGAACTGTACTTTACAAACATTAAGCTAATTAGAATCAAAACTACATTGTAAGCCACTCAAAATCAATTGCATTCAATAAATCATAATAATATAATAATAAAATAATCTTTATAGAGGAAATTCCCACCACATAAAGTGGTTTTCAGGGAGGTTCTCTGACTGAGATTAAATAATATTAAAACTACTAATAACAATCAAATCTAATAAACTAGTGATAGTTATAAAATTAAAAGGCTAAAACGGCTAGACAACTAAGAAAGGCAAAAAAAGTAATAAAAATACAATCAGACTAAAACATTTAACTATCGGAAAAACAAATTCTAACGACTTAAAAGGATAAAATGAAAATTTACAAACTACAAATATCATGATATAGGTCAATGCAACACCTAAAATGATCTAGCATGCACAGCAAGCATTTGTGCTTGAGTTACTGCTCTAGTAGTTCCAGCTTTTGTGCATTAACTCAAGCAGAAATGCTTGCTACACAGGCTAAAAACTATCAGCTTGTATGATTTCAAGGGACATTTGAGATCAATGGTATAAATGGTACCCATTGTTTACCTGCTGAGCTACCATGGTGGCATTTCTGCTCACATGAAGTTTGAAAGGCTTTAAAAACTGGCTCATTGGAAAACCTGGATCATCTGAGACACAGTTAACATCAGATCCTGCAGAGAATATATTATCAAGAAATTGAGATGTAACATCCTTACATCCTGCTCATAACATCTCTACCTCCTCGTAGAAAAAAACATTCGCCAGTTCCTCAGCATCTACAGGACAAGAATAAGCAGTAGACACCTGCAGGGGGCATTTTGTCTGTATTCTCACAATCTTTTTGAGTCTGCAAAAATATTGCTATTTCATCTTTGTTGTAACTTGGAAGTCCAGGGACAAAAGTATTAGACAAAATGAGCCACACTGAACATAACAGCTCTAGTTCTTTTATTCCCCATACTCATTCTGCGCAAGCGCATTGATGTACATGTAACACAGCTGTGACATAACTTCACATAATGTAACACAACTATCAGGAAACAAGGTCACGATATAACAATCTTAAAATACAATATATTCTACCATCTTCCCAAGCAGTGAACTGCCAAAACAGCTGGCTGCCACAGTGTTTGTATGACATCAATCATTCAATAATTTATTATTACTATTATTATTACTTATCTTTATTATAATTATTCAATGGCTGTGCCAATCACATTATTTAAGGAATGCCAAACATGTTCAATTCTAACTGGTTACAAGAAATTAGCTAGAGAGATTTAAACCAATCAGAATTGGAGAAAATATGGTAATTGGAAGTGAAAGTACTCAAGATTGGAACTGATAATTATAGTTACTAAACAAATTGTTAATTTTACTGTAAACTGCAGAGGGGAATTCTTACCAAATTGTTGTGACACAAGATGATAACAGCATCCAACTACACAAATCAACTTCACCGATGGTTCATTGACAAAGATTCTCAAAGCCATTGGAACTAAGTCACCACATGTGTGCAATCCAACCAAGAATAGTCCATTTGATACTGCAGAAGAGTTTTCAGGAGAATAGAACAGCTCATCAAAGAGCCTTTTCAGTTCTCCACTGGCAACAAATGACTGATCAACAAAACCAGTTACAGGTAGGAAAGAATTGGAGTTTGCACTCTGTGACTGTTCACAACTGGTTATCCCTCCATTAGCAGGTAGATCTGAACTCTGTTTCTTCTCACAGTAGTTTTCATCCCTAGAAATATTTCTCACAAGTGCATTCTTGTGATGATGTTGTTCACATTTTGAAAATACTAAAGGGTCATAAGTTGTATCCATGTCACAACATTCAGAAGACAACAGTATTGAAGAATCAACAGAAATTGTACTATCTTTATGATCAGTTTCATATTTTGAGCATAATGGTACAATTTGTCCATTATCAATGAAATTGTTTTTCAGTTTATTAAAATACAGATCTTGTTTGTTGTCAATGTCACTATTCTGTTCCAAACCACCAGAGTTTTTATCATTGTTGCCAATACTACCTGATAAACTGCAAGGACATTTTGAGCAAGAGTCCAAGTTACTATTTCCCAACATAATTTCCTTGTCAGATTGGCTGTTCGACATTTTTAATTTTTCGCCACATGATTTCTTCACTAGCCCATTCCATGCTTTTAAAAGCTTCTCATTTCTTTTCACTGCATTCTGTGTATTGCTTAGTGAAGAATCAACTCCTACAACTTTTAATCCATACTGCAACGCTAAGTTCTGACTGAGATAGCCTTTCCCACTGCCAAGATCTAAAATCTAGGAAATTAAAATAATAACACTCAGACCATTAATGAAGCCTACATTTTATCATTTACAGTACATTTATAATAATGTACCATTTTATGGTGACGAAGGAATTTTTATGTGATCATTTTTTTCTTTGCTACTACTTTTTTTGTTGTAGTTTGTTTTTCAGTTTTGTTTTAAAATGATTAGAGAGGTGACTGGTGTATGCAAATGTGGTACATTAACATATACTTGCATATTTCTTAGACAGGTATGCAGATATGCCAACTCTTCCAGATTACAGGTATGCAGATATGCCGGTAAATGGAAACGTTTCGTCGGTTCTTCCAGAAAATTATCTGGGAGTTCCATTGACATTTCTTGTAGTTTGTACCAGTTCCAGGTCGGTCCGGACCAAATCAACACACCGAAATTTCCGGGTTTTTTTCGTAAATGGAAAGCGCCCCCGGTCTGTGCTTTAATTTGGAATTTATCCAGTTTTCTCCTAAAATTCCAATTTTCTTTGACTAATAGTTTGGTTCCTGGGGCATTTTGGCACGTATTCCATCACTAACAAAGTTTATTTTGGCATTACAATCATAAAAGCCATATGTGTGTATGTGTTTTTACAAACGGTGACAATGCCAGATTTTAGGTCTTCAGAGGTTTGCATCTCTGAATTAAGAGCATTCTTGCAATTCAGTGAGATACAATTAGTGTCAATGTATTCTATCTGTTGCTTCTTACTAGGCTGAAACTGACCTTACGAACGTTAAACTGCGTGGCCATCCTGTGAACTACATCTGACATAACTTCCACTTCATATGATTTCTTTGGACTCATGATGTGTGAAATAAAATCAACCTTGAGCTCACTTGAAAACTCCTTTGCGTCTTTTAACCAAGAAAAACTTTTGAGCTGCGCCATTTTTGCTTCGTTGAGAAAATTCTTTAGATGGTGTCCAACATTATCAAAAGTTTCGGATTCATCATTACAAGCTGTTGGCAAAGATGCGAGTTCTAGCGGTGAAAGCGATTCCAAATCTTTCCTAATGTGTAGCGGTAGAAGAGTTTCCCAGTGGTTTGATGTGAAGTAGTCTACCATATGAGCATCCATTAACTTTCTTTGAGTTCCCAAATAGTCTATAACGTGTTGAAAATCCCTTAAAAAGAGTTGAAAATTCATTGATTCACTGTCATCCTCGGCCGCCATGTTGGATTTTTGGTTGTCCAGGGCCTATCCTTTTTGCCCAGAACCTCTGGACAAGACGATTGCAGACTCCTGCGGGCCTAGCTTTGATGAGTTGTCACAGAAGCATGCTTCTGGTTGTCATGAATAGACCTCTTTAGCTTGTATGTTTTATTTTCCCAATACAGGTCATGTGCCAAATAATTTTTCTTTAAGTTTTTCAAAAAGCCACACTAACTAAGCAACCTCAGAAACAAATAAATGGCAAACTCCATAGCAAACACCTGTGATCATAGCTTGTGTGGCATTGTTAATGAAGAGGAAGAGAAAGGGATATTCTTAATACCCGGATGGTACTGCAATGATATATGAAGGTGGAAAGTAGAAAACGAATCCACTAAAATATTAGACACAGCTCTACATCATTTGTATCGTCACTGTATGTACACGCAGTTTGATTGAGAAACCAAAATAGCAATACGCGTGGTTAGAGTCCTGGATCACTTCCAATTAACTTTCCTTATATGGTAGTTCCTGTGGGATCCTGAATGGGATCCTATCCTATCACATCAGGGTGGAAAAGAGCAAAAAAATTCCCCATATGCATTTCTAATTAGCCCTCGTGCAGTGGAGGATATTTTCGTAGAGTTCAATTGTTTGCCAATCGTAGGGGACAAAATGGAGTCTTCCTGGGCAGACAGTTCCAGAAACTTAAAATTCCCCATATGCATTTCTAATTAGCCCTAAGATATTTTCGGGCCAATCAGAAGCGAGCATTTCAAATCGTCCTGGAAGACCTGGAACTGGTTAGACTGCCCAAGCTAGTTAGAGTGGTTAGAGTGGTTAAAAAAGTTAGAGTGCCCACGCGCTGCCACTCCAAAGTAAACTTTGTCTGCAATGATTTTGCTCTCGATTCTGAATGTTCTGTCTTAATTAACTACCCCTGGGTCTCCGCAAATGAATTCCATCCGATTTGGTCGAAAATCAGTGGGAATTTTTTTTTACTTGTTTTGACATGGTCTCCTTTATTGTTTGTTTGTTTCATAGGGGCGTTTTCCTCCACTCCAACTCCACAGACTGTCGAAGCAGAAGACGCCACTGATTACTATCTGGATGACGATTTTTGAACTGTTCGCCTTCAGAAAAATGAGAATTATTTTGGCAAAAATACACTGAAATATTCACCCGGTATTCATCTACTGCTGTAGACTAGTATTAAATCAAATAGAGTTTGAATAAAGAAAAACGAGAGTGCGAATAGTAGTTTTCCTAGATTTCAGTTACCAAGTCAGGAAAGTCTTACGAGGCTTTCTTTTCCTACTTCCACGGTTTTTATCAATGCGTATAGAAAAATGGTGCTACTACAACTATGAAAAAATAAACAAACTTTATCAAACTTGTATTACTCAGGACTTAAAAAACAATGACAGGGGGGTTAAGTTGTACGATGGTAGCCTGTTCCAGGCGACCAGATAGAGAGAACGGCTCAAAAAATCATGAGAAGGAAAATAGCGAGGGTGGTAGGAAGCCGGGAGGGTGAAGTAAACCTCCTTTTCCCCTATCCCTCTATTTTGCATTGTTTACCTCTCTGCTCTTCATTTTCCGCCTCTCTCCACTATCTGAACGCCTGGAGCAGCCTGTCACGATGGCGACAGTGACGGGAGAACGTCAACTGAGAAACGACCGAGTTGTTGTAACTACTGACCTGCACGCCCATAACGCTTTTTAGCACATTTCTTTCCCGTCACTACACGACTACGACGTGACGTGAAATTTCCGAATCCGCCATTTTCATTTTTAAATTACGAATGACGAAAATAAAGACTCTTTATTGACGGACGACTATTTATCTTTCACTCTTTGAAGTTAGATAAGGTCCGGCTTTCCTGAATTAGCTTGAATTAGTAGCTTCCAATGCACAAGTTAATTGGCGTAGGTTGATTAAGTAAGCGGTAAGAAGTTTGAAAAAATGCGATTTCAATTGACGCCGGAAAAGAAGGAAACATGATGAGAGGGATACAGGATACCGGTTGTTCCATTATATAATCTTGTACAGTAATCAGTTGAACTCGGTTGTTGTCATGTTGATATTTTGCAATAAGAATTTTTAATAAAGTGTTATTAGCTTTACCTATTTCTTGACTTAATATCGTCGACTACGTGTAATAATTTGAGCCAGAGACAACCGTGAAACTATCCTGCGTGTAAAGGTATCTTTCTAGCATGGCTTTTAGCGTTTACGAAGTCTTTCGCGTCGCTTGTCGACTACGCGGTTGACGAAGCGACGCGAACGACTTTACAAAATAATGCTGAAAGCCAACCAGAAAGCAAACTCTGCTCGCAGGGTACCATGAACAAAGCTATGTAGGCAGAGCTAGAAAGGCTTTAACTAGTAAGTGCTTAGCGTCCCAAGCTGACGTACGAATCTGCTCCCTGACAACTCAGCCACGCTGCCTCCAAGTATGGCTACATGACCTATGACACTCAAACAGACGGCTTTTAACTGTTACTTTTATAGCTCTTGAAAAGGTTACCCTGAAGTAAAACATTGGTCTCTTTCCCACTATGCACAACAGACAAGTTTAGGTGTTATCACACATCATGAATTGACTTTTGTGTATTTGCTGAAGTAGACTATAGCAAAAGATTTCTCCTAGAGAAATTAGGTCGAAGCCGTGATGAAAAATGTTTTTTCAGTTTTTTTTTTTTTACTCAACCAGCGGTTATGAACTTGCACATGAGCGTGCAAATGAGGTGAAAAATTGGACAAATTGAACCATATGTGACATAAACTTCAACGAATACTAGGAGAATCGTGGTACATATTCACAGCCGACCTTTTTCATTGGCTCGGCTACAGCCTGAGTTATTTTTAAAAGATGTATCTTCAAGTACTGTCCAGGAGAAATATTGACAACAGCCAATGTATGATGAGTACCAATACAGAGTGGCGGCGTCGCGGTGAAAGACAGTAAAAAGAACGTCTTGCCGTGAGACTTGTCGAAGAATACTTGAAGTTTACGTTAGCACACAATATATAGTAGGTTTGAAGTTTTTCATGTTCATGGCTTTTTAATTTTTAATATGTTTTAAAAAATCCAATATCCTTAAGCTCGTTATTTCCAAGTGACTAGAGCCTTTGCTTTACAAATCACATCAAATAACTTCCTTGTCAAACTGGATATTCTCTTCTAGCGTTGCACTCCATCTCTCTCGTCGCCTCGCGTTGCTCTTGTAATTTCTTGTAACGTTCAAACTCAGTTTCTTCATAGCCACAGCATCTTTCCAGGCAGAAAACACGTATCCTTGAGTATGGGCAAACCACGGAGCAGAGCATAAAGAAAACAAATAAGCTCACAAATCCTAAACATGCAATTAGGAAATAAATCGAGGTCTCGCGGGACGCCATCTTGAATTCACATCCAATTGCATCCAATTATCTAAACACTGACTTTGAAGATGATGTCAATTACAATCCGAAAGCGGTCAATTACTCTGTGGGTTTCTCGAGGTAAAAGCTGCATGGATTTTAAGGCTGAAATAAAAATGATGCACATTTACACACAATGTAGGTGGAAATCTAGTATCTTGAGGATGTGAAAATTTGAAAACTTGTCAGCGCAAACCTTCTCTTTCGGTTTTTGTCCCCGCTGTCAAAGCCTTGAAGAGTAGTATTCTCAACACTTCATCTTTCCTCTGTCACTGGGTGAATATGGAAACCTAGTTAGCACCGGCTGTGTTGACTTTCCATGAAATAAAAGTCAACATCACTTTAACACCTTTTATTACAATGGAATCTAAAGTAATAAAAGAGTTCGTAGTTACCCTTAACAACTACTTGTTAATTATGAGAATAACAAAAACACGCACTGACGTCAATAGCTAGTCAACCTTAACCAAATTTATTTTTTCGTTGTTTACTTTGTCACAGATCAAGAACTTAAAAAAATCGTTGTCAAGGGAGAACAGTAAATTACGGGTCTTCTGTTGGCTTTAGCAAGAGCGCCAAAACGTGTTCACCTGAGTGTTTGTTGCTGACAAAGATGTTTAAAGTTTGCGGATGGAAATTAGCTTTTTTGTTGCTTGATCCTCGACTGATTGACAGTGTGAAGATCGTTCAACATCCCTCACAATGCAGTTAGTTTCAGCAGACTTTTAAAATGACGAGTTATAGTAGTGACAGAATCGACAACAGGGCACAAAAATAAGCAACTTCTTGCGCTTCGGATCTAGTAGGTCACGCCTTGCAAAACTTAGCCAGTTACATAGGGGTATAAATTAGCTCGAAAAGCCACTTTCACTATTTGTGGTAGACTTGAATATCTATAACCATGACCAAGGTAGAGGTGCCCTTATCATACGCTAGATTGACTGCCGGTAAAAACGAATGAAAATAAACCTGAAAACCTTTAGAGGAAGATAGAGTCTAAGACAAAAAGCGTATTTCTAAGTTTCCATTGTAGCAACATAAAGTATACCCTGGCTTTAGACAGAGCTCTGATCTCAAAAGACCTTGGACAAAATAAACTATGCTTATAGTTTGATAAAGCTGCTAGATTTATAAAGAAAATAATCGGCTACTGGAATAAGCTTAAAAAAACTCTGACCCCCAGAGTACATAAAGTAGTACCGTATAACCAGGAAAAAATCGACTAGGTTTTACTTTAACGTAATATATTAAGGTAATTGCTCTAGCGTTTCAACAGTGGCGTACACTAAAAAAACTGAAAAAAGTTATTTCAAATTTTGCTTTCTTTTCAATACTGAAACCAAAATAACTCATGAGTGAGTATAGCCAAAGAGGTTGCATGAATTGTTCTAGAACGAGGATTTTGCCCAGATCCTTATATAAGACTAATGCGTCGTTTGAATGAGAGCTCTTTCGAAGGGTGAAACATCACGCTATGAATGGCGCAAATGGGTGCAACTGCTGATCGAAAGACTGCACTGCGGTATAGTGACTATAACGCATGCATCGATACCAATACTTTTTCCAATTAGATTTTGGCATGCACACTACTTTA